ACACAGGCGCCGTGTTTCAGGAATCGCATCTTTTTTTTCCCCAACAGGAGTCGACTTCCAAGAGCGTCGCAATCCTCTACTCACAGGACTGAGACACGCCCTCGCGCAGGCGCAAATCCAAAGTCAAAGGACCTATAGTCAGCTTCGCCGATATTTGCTTAATTGGCCGCAACCATAACAAGAAACGCCGAGGACAGATAGGGAAAGTCATCGAGGGGAGGTTGGTCAGAATGGTGTTTTGTGCCTGTTTCGCTACCTTCTGACTCGTGGATGCTGCACATCATCACATTAAAGCGAAGTAGTGTACTTTGGCGCCAAGTACCGCGGTGTACTTCGTACCGTTGCTGCAACGTACCCTTTTCTGCACGTCTGATAATCATCCATTTTGGACTTGCCTGCCCGCGGAAGTATCACGAGCGGAAGAGCTTCGAGATCAAAGTTTTCACGGTCTGTGACTAATTACAGGTTGTCCTTTCTTCACAGTGCCGGTCAGGCGGAAGAAGGCATTGGCTGCCGTTGTGCATGTACGACAACATGTTTAGAAATTTTGTGAAGTGACATTTGATCATCAATGGGATAAAGAGCAGCACTTAACTGGATGTGTTGTCCAAAAGCCGCATGGACTCTGGTCAGATCATCAGGGCTTTCGACTTCCATCTCGAGATATAACAACCTTGTCTCCTCGTCGTCCTGCCAATGACTGATAGGAAGTTGAAGACTGAGCCCTTGGACCTCAGTATTTTGAGTTCCTGGCCTGTCCGACGTCCTGACGATTCATGTATACAACTAACGAGGAAATTACGTAGCGACGTGACCGGAGGGCGTTTACGATGCGCAATTGCAGGCAGTAGGCTGGGACATGCCACACACTCTCCTAGCTGTCAGCACTATTTGAGAGGATGCGAGGTGATGAGTAAACGGCGACTCGCCGTTGCACTTCTTGCGCTTTGTGAGATCTTCACGATGCTTTAGATCTTGCATCTCCTAGAGAGCGCGATCCCCACCTCGTGCCCATGATGGGTACCGTTTAGACTTGTTTGCTGATTGTTCCTTGCTCTAGTATGGAGAGCTTAGGGAGTGGCCGTGACACCTCATTGCATTGTGAAGTCCACTTAGGGTGCCGTTTCCATGGATCGCTCTGAACGGCCGGCACTCGAGGGGTCTCCGCAAGGGAAGGAGTGGAAAGGATAGAGCACCACTCGGCTTCGAAGCGATCGACGCCGCTACTCTAAAGCCCGCGCTTCATCACGGAGGGACAAGATTTAATTAATAAATCAGATATGGAGGGGTACAGAACGGCGACAAAAGTCTTGCGCGAGGGTAACGGCACATTGCCATGCCGGACTGAGCAACGTCCTCTTTTTTTTTTATGTGTCTTAACACCACGCAAGAGTGATACATGGGATCGCACCCGCGGCCGAGTTGCGCACTTCATATTGCGGTGAAGGAGAAACTTCGGAGTCGTGTCTCCTCGTACAGTACTTGATGACAGAACGTCATGAACGAGTAATTCTTAGCGTCGCAAGAACATCGTTCTTGATTCATGTAATTGATGCAATGCCAACGCTCCAGGACAACCTGTCCCACGAAGGTGCATATGCTTCAAAACTCCAGGGTAGGTGTCGATGCGTGCTGATTCGTAGGCGCAGTGAGCCGGGGTGTCGGAGGTATGGGTACATGACTGCCAGGTATTGCCGATTTTTCTGCCGAGCTTTGCGACGTGTATTCCCTGCCCTGGTTTGGGTGAGGCAGTACATTCTATCTTTACACGCGTCCGCCGGGGGCCATGGCTTCAAAACTGAGACTAACAAGCAGGTTAGGCGGCCGTCATTCGTGTTAGATGTGTACTGGACAAGAGACACTGTGCGCTGCAGAACTGGGCGATAGTTGCTCACTTTTCTCTGCAGCATATAGGCGGGCAGAACTAGAATTTCCCTGGACGATTTTCTCTTGCGTAGGATCGTCGCCAACACGCCCACTGCGCCTTGTGCGCGTACTATACATACATGGTGCATGTTGCATATGTGGTGAGGAGAGGTAAGGTAGGTGTACAGCAGCGCACGCATGCGGGAGCAACTGGATTGATACAGTAGAATTCAGCCCGCGAGTCGGCCATGGGTCGCTAGAGACGTTCATCAGGGTCAGGTAGCGTCGATTCGTAATTTGCTAAAACGATGCTAGCCAAGCCGTGGGCGATGTGATGCTTGCGGTGACCCGAGTGGTGGCGAGTCAGGAAAGAACCCTGAAGCGGTAGCTTTGACAAGGTCGTGGCATCACATGAACGTAAACCCGCGCCAGGTTTTTGTGAGGAAGCAGTGAACCGCCCTGTCTTTTACCCTCGCAGGTCGACCGTGTCCGGTGGTATTAGCGTGCTTTGTCAAGGTTGGGTAAGGGTACCGAAACAAGACAGTCTGTTCCCCCGGGCCAGCACTGTGCCATCACGTTTCTCATGCGAGCCACGGTGCTCCTGTCACTTGTCAGAACGCCGTGCAAGCAGATACCGTTGAGATAGCTTAGCTCTGGGCAGAGGTACATGTGGGTAAGGAGGAAGGGCTGTCGCTGTCTCGGTCTCTGGGCCATGTCGCTCTGAGTGCTAGGGAAAAAGAGAGTTCAGAGGCAGAGACAATGTCGAGGTCAAGACGGGCCAGCGGAGAGACATGGAGAAGGAATCATCCATACTCGATCCATACTCCTCCATACTCAGACGCTCGGGTCAGTCCATGTTTGTCTGAGTGCTACGTATTTCCAAGGTTGGGCATGCTCGACCATGTCGTTATGATTCGAAGTGGCATAGTGAGGTTGTGTGGCATGTAACTTGAGCACCAGCAGTGAAAATGGAAGTACACCTGCATATCAGTTGGTTGGCTGGTTGGCTGGCTGGCAAGCAAGGTAGGTACAGCCATGGTGAGGTAAGGTAAGGTAAGGAAGGTACTAACTAAGGAGAGGAGAGGAAGGGAAGGCATGGATTGGGGGCAAGGGCATGGATGTGAGGAAGGCACGATATGCCTGTCTGCCCAGTGCCATGCCATGCCATGCCTTCGTGCTTGCTTGCTTGCTTGCTTGCTCGGTGCAAGTCAAGTCAAGTCAAGTCAAGGCAAGGCAAGCCAAAATCAGATCAAATCAAGTCGAGGTTGGATCGAGTGGCTACCTAGCTGGAGGTAGCTACATACTATGCAGTAGGTAGGTAGCATGGCGTGTGTGTCAAGTGCTCTTTCCTCGCATCGGTCTTGATATTTAATCGACTGTCAGTAGGCAAAAGACGTTAAGCTGTAGAAGGCAATGAATGTACAGTACATTGACGTGAATGAGGTTAGAGCGGCACCGGAAGGTGATCCAATCCAGCAAGCCAGTACTCTCTTTTCCTCTCAACCTGACCAAAGGGTAAAGTGACTTACCTAGGTAGTTGCTTGTACAGTAGCGAGAGTAGGAGGCAGGCAGGTACTACTATGCAGTACATAGCAGTAGACCACACAAATATCACCCGGGCGCCTGCGATTTTAGGATTCGCGCTTCCGATTCATACCTTCCCTCTACCATTACAAACAAGCACAGTGTCCCGAAATTTCCTTTTCCTTTTTCTCTTGTCATTTCCATCAGAAACATCGGCGGTCCTGGCGCTGAACCCTTCTTCTCTCTCTCTCTTCCTTCCCTTTTTACTTTTCGCCTTCCCTCCCCCCGACTACGAATCCTGACTGACTCTTGTATCCATCTTTTCTCCCTCTTCTTTCCTCCCCATTTACCGCCTATCCCGTATCCGTCGCCCACCTACCTGGGTTTTTTTTCGCCATCATCATCATCGTACTACCTGCCGGCCTGCCTACCTACTCATACACACATCATCCGTCACTGTCGTGATCCACTCGGACTACTTCATTTTAGACCGCGTCAGCGGCAGTAGGAGGCTAAACTAGACTTTGCGATCGCGGCGTACATTCCGTTGGCGGCAAAGGGAAATTTTTTCTAGAAAAGCGCCGGATCCCAGCATCGCGCGCGCAGCAAGCGGCAAGCTACTATCTGATATAAGAAATATTTCAGATTTTTAGGAGGGTCGCGGGTCCCACGTCCCACCTAACCTACATCACCCCCCCTCTCTCCCAAGTCCCACGATATATTTGCCTGCCTCCACCTACCTCAGACCTTCCCTGGACCCCCCCAAGGAAGCTCCACTCACCCACCTTCATCGACCCAACGGCTGCTCGTGCAGCCCTTCGCAGAAAAAAGGAAGCCCACCCAGCCCACCACTGTACCTGGCAGCTTCCCGAAGGAACAGAAAAAAAAGAAGCACAGCATCTGAACGTCGTGCTCCACTTCAGACCTCATCCTTCCATCTTGCCCAAGAAACCCTCTTTTTGTTTCTCTCCACCTACACAAACGGCAATCAGCCTCACCTTATCCACCTGCCAGCATCATCTCCACCCCTTGGAGCTTGTTGTTGCCTGTATTCACGTCTTTCAACGTGCAACCACGCGATCTACTGCAGCGGTTGTCATTGTGCCCAGAGTCTAGATCCTCGCGCGCGCCCACAGCAGAGGTCCAGCTCTTGTCTATCGTCGCGTCTTCGTGTGTCGGGTCAATCAGGAACATCCTGCGCGTCAGCGGTTCCTCTCCCCTCACTCCAGTCAGTGCTTGTTATTGTTGAGGATTACCTCTTCATCCAGACACTGCTTGTTTTGTCCGCCGTCCAGGCCAGCAAAGTCGAGTTCGAAACACCTCGAGTCACGACCGCCACGCTGCCGTGATCGAATGGTCTTGTTGGGTTCGACACATCAGGGTTGGATTCGAGAAGGATTATGGACACAAATCATTACGCGTCTAATGTGATCAACACAACGACGGCTTCCTATCCATCACCATCAGCGATCTCTCCTCACCATCTTCAGCAAGGTCAACCTCACACCTTGCCCCCTCTGCAGCCTCATAACCCAGGTATGCAATCTATCTACGCGAGCCACCCTCACACGCCGCGCACTCCAGCTACTCCCAACACTCCCGGCTCCAACATGGGCAGCTATCCGCCTCCGCCTACCCAGAACGCTGGGCGAGGCTCCTACCAGATGATGTCCAACAACCCGTACCAGCAGCCGCACCAGTCGTACGCGACCTCGTCCGGCATGTTGCCCCAGACCTCTATGGCCACGTCCCACCCTCAGCCCATTGCCCCTGCTCCGTCTCCCGGTGGCCGTGTCCCTCCGGTGCTGCGCCCCATGCCTGCTGGCGGTGTCATGCCGCAGCCGGGTATGGCCTCTCCCTATGCGCAGAGCCCGTTGATGCCACAGCCCTCTATCCTCCAGGACAGCGAGCAGCCAACCCATGTGGTTGGTTCTCAGGGTCGCCGCGGCATCCTGCCCAGTGCCCCCGGGAGGCCTGCCGCTCCGGCCGCTGGCACGGCATCTGCCAAGAACCAGATCCCTCAGAAAGACGCTGACGGAAAGTTTCCGTGCCCTCATTGTACCAAGACCTATTTGCACGCGAAGCATCTCAAGCGCCATCTCCTACGTCGTAAGTCGATCTCCTTTTCCTTGTGTTGATTTCTGAATTTTGTCCCTGACGACTGGGCTAGATACCGGAGATCGCCCCTACATGTGCGTTCTTTGCCGCGATACCTTCTCTCGCAGTGATATCCTGAAGCGCCACTTCCAAAAGTGCTCGATTCGTCGCGGAAACCCCACTGGCGCAAGTCACTTGTCCCACCCTCATGCTCACGTCAAGAAGGCTCAGGCTGCGCAGAAGGCGGCTGGCATGGATGGGGATCTGAACCACATGAATGGAATGAACAACGTCCCTGGCGACGGCATGGTTCACCCTTTTGGTCTCATCCCCGCTCCTGACGGTATTAACAACATGTCCAATGACCAGGCTCAACTTTCGCGATCTAGCAGCATGAACCGTCTCGAAGACGCGAACAACCAAGACCGAAGAAGCGTGGCTGGCTCTGTTATGGGTGCGTCGACCCGCGGCGGCAGCTTCGACCAGACGTACAACGGCAACGTTTCCGCCTCCATGGCTGCCAACATCAACCCTCAGCTGGCGAACTACAACATGCCTCCGAACCAGAATGGAATGCCTATGTTTGGTGGACAAAACTCGAACCAGCAGTTCAGCGGTGACTGGTCTCAGATGTTTTCCCAAGGTGGTGCGCAAGATACCTACGTCAATACCTTCCCTCCTAATCTTGGACAGACGCAGACCGCAATCAAACCAGAGCCTAACGGCGATCCCTCGAGACCTGATTTTATTCCTACCGGGAATCCGACCGATGACCGCTCCCTCTTCTTCGGTAACTGGGGCCCCCCCTATATACAAGATCCTTATCAACAACTTTCGACCCGGATTATCAACTTCTTCTACCCTCCTGATGTCGTCATCTCCCCCGAGAGCGCCGGCATGAATTTATACTTCTCCCCCGAAAACGTTAAAGATTTCCTCGAGCGATACACCCATTTCCACGTCCACTTTTCCATGCTGCATATTCCTACCTTTCGTATCATGTCCGCGTATACCGGCTTGCTGGCTTCCATGTGTTGTATAGGAGCATGCTATTCCGACCGTGTCTCACCCGATCATGTTCGCGATATGATGAATTTCCTCAAGACAGCCCTCGAACGAGACTCTAGAATACTAGCCTCTTTGTCGAATGGTGCACAAGACGAGTTCGCAGCATTTGGCAGCAACAAGGCGGACATCGAGGAGTTGCAAGCGCTTATGCTGCTACATGTCTTGCTCACTTGGAACGGAACTCCTGCCCAACGCGAAAGTGCCGGGCTGATATGGGTGCAAATAGCTAACTTGGCCAGAAAAGCAGACTTATTGCGTGTACACAGCAGCCCCTCACTATTCAGCCCTCTTCATCAACCAAACTTCTCGCTCTCCACCTTTGACCCATCTACATTCACATTTGATTGGGTATCATGGGCAGAGCAGGAGACGCGGGTGCGAATCATGTGTACGCTCATATTTTGTGATGCAGCTCTTGGTCTTTACTTCAACTCTCCACCTCTATTCAGCCCCTTCGAGGTCCAGGTGCCCCTGCCTTGCGACGATGCAGCATGGGATGCACCAGATGCCACTACATGTGCCGAAGCTCTAGGTCTTCATGGACCGGACAAAGCAAAACTTCGGAATTCAGACGGTACACAACGTGCAAAACAGCCTGAATTGTATCGTGCGTTACGTGCGCTTCTGGACAGCTCATACCAAATTCAACCAGGAACAACCAATCTGCTAGGCAAATTCATACTCATACACTGTCTCATTGCCGTGTTGAGACGCGCTCAGACGGATGGTAGTGCCGGCATAGTCTCAGGTTCGGCCACTCCTTTGTCGCAGAATGACTGGGTGGTTGGGGTCGGACATGATGGATTGAAAGGCAGTTTGAGCAACAATAGCAGTGGTCGTGGAACGCCGGTTGATGGCATTATACCGCCTCATGTCATAAAGACATTGGCAACAGCCCTGGACAAGTTCAAGCACAATTGGGATACCGATATGATTCAACAGTTTCCTCCATCATCGGGCAATCCTCGTCGATACGGCTTTTCTAAGGATGCTATTCACTTCTATTGGTTGGCGAATTATTTGTTGAAGAACACTCGACCCGCTGAATTGCAGATGGCTCCTGATCAGCGGTTTACGCGTGTAATTCATCTCTTGAAGTCAGTGAGAGCATGGGTGTTGAATGATGGGGCATCGAGAGGAGAAGATTTGGGCTCCGTCGGAGACATTGATAAGGATTACGGGGTCATGAACCTCACGCTTGATATGGCACAATTATTCAAGCCTTTACCCCAGGTTGTGGAATCCCCAGGAATAACTTCGGTCAAAACGGAAATCGCGTAAGATTCGTATAGTGGCAACTCTTTCCTCTGCATTTTTGCGGCGTTCTTTTTCTGCTTTAATGGGGGGTTATCTTCAGCTCTCGTCCAAAAAAGTCGATTCCCCTGATGCATATCAGATTGGCACCACGGCGGTACTATTGCTTTGCATTTGCAGACGGATCGCAATGATAGATTTTCCCACGGCTTTGCATTAGACTCATTCACCAACAATCATAGACTAGGAGGTTTGGGGAGGCAGGCTGCTTCCAATGCCGGTTTGCTGTTATGATAGTTTATGTTATGAAAGTGTTCACATTTATGAATTTGTTCCTCTCGATTGATCTTCCCTGTAGTCTCGTCCTAATGAACCATGCCCAGGCCCGAAAAGTGCATCAGTATTTGACTTTCTTTGTATGTGTTAGGCGCCACTTCTGTGGTAGACCGCTGCCATCTCATCAATTTGTGAGAGATCACAATGCTCGTCTCCACCCTGCGGCATGCTGGAGTGTGTTGTTCCGCAGTTAGGCATCACCGACTCAATTGAGTCTATCGTCTGCCGATGCTACTTCGAACCCTTGTCTATGACATGGATCTTTGGGGTGTACTTCTCCAGTTCCTCATTGTCCTGATCACTTGGTTTGAACCCGAACTTCTCCTCGGCGCGATCGGAGAGATAGAGGCCGATTGCGCCCCAGGCCAAGAGCCCAAAACCAAAGCCTAACCTGGCTTTCGAGGACAGGCCGCGGTAGGACCTAAAGAAATGTTTAGTGAGTGGCTTTGTATGTCTGTTGCAACTCGGAACGAACCCCAGGATAGACATGACCCCTAGTCTTCAACCTTGACTTCACGTAGGGCACGTGGTTAGCATTTAAGTGACATCGTATGAGAGCTGTAATCTCTGCATCGCACTATTAGCATGACTCGCATAGAGAGCCCATGATGCCATCACATACCGTAGATGATTTATAAGTCAGTCCCAACCTCTAAAGTAGCAAAATATCTCGTGAAGTCATGTTCTAGTGGACCGGGAGTTGAGATGGGTGACACCGAACCTTGTAGCCTAGACCGAATTGGTCAATTGGTGGGCCCGGAAACTATGTTCTGCCGTCCTCCCAAAATTTCTGGAGATCCATCAGTCCAGCCTGCGCGAGCATCACGAGGAGGGCAAACGACAATTATCTGCGCCGACTCTTGATTCAGGTTGACTGCGCCGCTGGCGTCCATATAATTTCCTGCTATTCAGAAATGGCAGTTCCGTATGCGGCTGCAAGACCAGGCATTGGCCGCGTGCTTCAGTCGACACCGACAAGCTTCCCGGGGCTTCACTCACGACGAGCGACAGCTGCGGCTGCAATTGCAACCGCGTTCAACCCTATTCAGACCTCAAAGTTCTCGTCTTCTTCTCAATTATGCAAGCGCAAGACGGCCGATCGGAGTCGGAGCCGAGGCGTCAGCAGCATCCGAAAGACAGGTCCTCGTGAGTTCCTCTCCGTGTCGAACGATGAGCTCCCTCAGCCTGTCGACCCCAAGGAGATGCCTCAGGTCGAGACGGACCCGAATCACGGTCTATGGGACTTCTTCTATTCCAAGGAAAAGCCAATCAACACCCCGGCCGAAGATTCTGCACACGGGAGGGCATGGACGGCCGAGGAGCTCAGGAAGAAGAGCTGGGACGACCTCCACAAACTGTGGTGGGTGTGCGTGAAGGAAAGGAATCGTATAGCTACAGGAAACTGGGAGCGAGAAAAGAAAGAATACGGATACGGCACCGCTGAGTCGGGCCAACGGGACGCACAGGTAAGTCTCCGCCTCTGTTGCCAATGCATTGCCAGCTTCACTGTCAGCCAGACAAGTCATGGCTTCCTACCTATCTGCATACGCTAATTGATTCCACGCGCAGGTGAGGCTTACTATGAGAGCCATAAAACACACCCTGACGGAGCGACTGTATGCTTGGGAAGATGCTGTAAAGTTGGCGGAGACGGATCCCGAAATTGATTTGTCCGGCGAAGGAACCCCTTACACGCCGGCGGAGTACCTTGAGGAGGAGGCCTTTGAGGAAGAGACTATTGAAGCGCAAGAGCAGGAACACCAAGATGCTGAAGAGAATCAAAAGGTAGCTGCTGAAGAGCAGGATGCCGCTGGACGCTCGACTGTCGACCCTTCCACGATGCCTTCCACTGACAAGATTCCACAAGAAGCACCGAGAGTATAATTTTAGAGCCTGTTCCGGAAGACGCACCGGTACATGTATCTTTCGAATGATCTAAAGACATGAGGGCTGCATACATAGAGCGACCGCTGTTGTACAAATACCCATCTGTAAAAACTACCTGTAGAACATCTGAAATACCAATACCTAACTACCTATCAAGATGGATACTACCTAGGTATAACTACAGCTCTTGATTGATATCGGAACAACAAAGACTTAGAGAGCTTTGCCCACGAGACCTGGAGACTTGTCTGTCTACAGCCCTGACTATTTCCCTCTCTGTCTCTGCTTGCATGATTGATATGAGACTTGGACCTGCATGCTGATACCTCAGTTGGACCGCTAACCCAAGCAGACGAATCACAGCGAGCAGCAGAGCTCCTAGGCGTGTGGGTGCGTGGGGCAACCACCTGCCAGCTACAACGTTGTTCACCCGCCGCCGTAGCTCTGCCCGCCGTCACCACATTTACCACATTAGATCATTGACCCTCTCCCTCTGATACATACACACCGACATTTTCTTTGTCTGCTTGCCCGTCCACTTCCTCGCTCAGCCTTCCCAGCCGACGTCTATATCGAACAGCAAGCAAGGCGCCTTCACCATGGATGAGATTGCGAAGGAATACGATGTCATTGTGCTGGGCACTGGTATGTTTCGTCCTCCCTGAGCCCCGCAATCCCGATGTGGGGTTGGCTGGCTGGCTGAAGCTGTCTCTGGCTGACTTGTGCTCTCCCAACAGGCCTGACCGAGTGCATTCTCTCTGGGTAACCAACCCTTACGACTATATCGAAGCTTCATAACAACTATATGCTGACATGAGATTTATCTGAAGTGTTCTGAGCGTCAAGGGGAAGAAGGTCCTCCACATTGATCGTAATGACCACTACGGCGGGTGTGTTCGCCCCCTCGATGCTGGGCAACTAGAGCTCAAATGGCATTGGAAGACACTGACGTGGACGTGACACAGCGAGGCGGCTTCTGTGAACCTCGAGACGGTATGATCTTGACACTTTGGCAGATGTCTTCCGTGCCGTACTGACTTAGCATGCAACGCAGCTCTTCAAGAAATATGGCAACTTCAACAAGGGCGAGGAGCCGTGGAAGAAGTATGGCCGTCTCAACGACTGGAACATCGATCTCATCCCCAAATTCCTCATGTCGTCGGGCGAATTGACCAACATTCTCGTCTCCACCGACGTCACCAGATACCTCGAGTTCAAGCAGGTCGCGGGCAGCTATGTACAACAGGGGTCTGGCTCAAGGGCCACCGTCGCCAAGGTGCCGTCCGATGCTGCTGAGGCACTGCGATCACCCCTTATGGGCATCTTCGAGAAGCGCCGCATGAAGAGCTTCATTGAGTGGGTCGGAACTTTCAACCCAAAGGACCCGGCTACACACAAAGGTAGGAACACCACATCTATGGCTTGAGCGACTCCCCGACTTCGTCAGTTCACTCACTAACCATACTCCAGGCCTCGATATGAGCAGCTGCACCATGAAGGAGGTATTCGACAAATTCGGGCTTGAGGCTACAACAAAAGACTTCATTGGCCACGCCATGGCCCTCTACCTCGACGACAACTACATCACAAACCCCGGCCAAGCTCCCGAGGCCATCGAGCGCATTCGCCTCTACGGCAACTCTGTCGCCAGATACGGAAAGTCGCCTTATATCTACCCTCTGTACGGTCTAGGAGAGCTGCCCCAGGGCTTTGCTCGTCTGTCAGCCATCTATGGTGGTACATACATGCTCAACACCAACGTCGACGAGATCGTCTACGAGGGCGGCAAGGCTACCGGCATCAAGGCGACCATGACCGGCGTGGACCCCGAGATGAAGTTCGAGACCAAGGCAAAGATGATCCTGGGAGACCCGTCCTATTTCCCCAACAAGGTCAAGATCACTGGCCATGTCCTCCGTGCGATCTGCATCCTCAAGCACCCCTTGGCGGGTACCAATGACAGCGACTCTTCCCAGCTCATCATCCCCCAGTCTCAGGTCGGCCGCAAGAACGGTAAGCTACCCACATGTGAAATCTTGGTATCGTTCTTCTTTGCTCACATGAGATTTTAGATATCTACATTGCCTGCGTCTCTTCTGCACACAACGTCTGTCCTAAGGGCTACTGGATTGCTATTGTCTCGACCATTGCGGAGTCTTCAGCCAACCACCATCTCGAGCTTCAGCCTGGTCTTGAGCGGCTAGGCAAGATCGAGGAGCAGTTCATGGTGCGTATATGACCAACCCGTTCTCATTAGTGCCGTTAGACTAACTATTGCCCAGGGTGCCCCGATCCCACTATACGCACCTGTCGACGATGGCACCAAGGACAACATTTTCGTGTCCAAGAGCTACGATGCAACCAGCCACTTCGAGACGACAACAGACGACGTCAGGGACATTTATCGCCGCGCAGCCGGCCAGGAGCTTGTTGTCGAGGGCTTGAGGGAGGGCATCCAGGTTGCTGAGGAGTAAATGGGTCTCTTTGAAATGTAGCTGAGATGGAACATTGAAAGCAAATGCAGGAAGCAAACGTTGAGGTCTTGTTAGGGTCGAGTTCTCCTTGTGAAAAGGTGGAAAGGGAGGAATAGAAACGTAGCAGTATATCACACCAATCAATATCCACCATCACCTCCATTGCAACATCGTGAGACTTGTAGCACAGCTTGAGTCAGGAGCACCACATATTCAAGGAACCCGGCGTGTGTACGGGACTTGAAGAATGCCATTCATGACTACGTTGTGTGTGAGAAGACGCTTTGGTGTTCATCACAGACGTTTCCAGTTATCTATGAAATCAAAGGACGTTTCGCAAAAGCCTTCGACTAATTACTGCGGCCGACACTTTTTGACACCCGTCCAAACGCCATCCCATGATCGTAATGAGCAAATCCAGCATGAAAAGAAACCAGCATAAAGCGAGAAGTCTTAACGGCGAGAAGTCTTTCCCATGCCACGCTTGCCGGCGAACTAGTACACAATTAGCATCAATGGGTACAAGACATGTATGTAGGAAAAAGTCGGGCTTACCAGATGCTTGGGCATCGCTGCGGCAATATGTCTGTCGGCCTCACCAGCCCTTGCCATCCTGTTCATCTTGCGCTGGCTCAGCTTGGCCACACGCTCCGCCTTCGATCTAGCGGTCTCATCCTGGACACCATCCTGCCGTCTGTCGGTGGCCGGCTGGCTGCGGGCTCTGCTCTTCGACCTCAAACGCTCTCTGGGCGTGCTATCGAGATCCATAGCGTCAGCGTCCTCAGTACCGAGGCGACTCCTTGCCAGAGATCGGCCACGAGGGCGAGACTGGGATCTACCCCTCTCGACAATCTCCGTTGTGTCAACACCTAGTGAGTCCAGATGGTCGTCCAGAGCGGACAGAGGCTTCTTTGTCTTGCTTCGGGGGATTATAGCTCGGTTCTTCAGAGACTTCCTCATTCTGGCCTCATTTCGGATGAGCGCCTGCTTCTCCCGGATCTGCTCGGCCTTCGTGAGAATCTCTTCCTCCTCGTCATCGTCGATCTCCTCATCGGAGTCATAATAGCCTTCAGCTTCTAGACGCTCCTCCTCTTCTTCGAGGGCTGCCAGCTTAGCATCGATGTCAGGATCGATGTAATCATAGACGTTCTTGCCATCAAAGACCTCAGGAATCTTGTCGTGCTTCCAGTCAGGGTTCTCGAGCAACCAGTCAGCACGGAGGTCGACGTTGAACACTCCAGCGCCTCCATTCATCTCCTCGATATCCCGCGCGAGCGTCCGCCTTTCTGGGTCACTCTTGTCATACTTCCTGACATTCTTGACACCCTCTGGGATGAAGGTCTCCCGGACTGTGCCATTCATGGGCTGGGCGACGTGGATTCTGGTCATGACATCCGCAAGACGGCCACCCACGGCGCCGCTGCTGGTAGTGCCTGCCTTCAGCTTGGCTGCCACTCTCTCCTGGATGAGCTTCTCGCACGCGGCGTTCTTTACGGTTTGGACACCCTCCTGCGTATTGCAGGAGAGCTGCAGCATCTCCACCTCGCCTGACTTCAGAAGAGACTGTAACTCAGCGGCTGTCTCGGGGTCAAGATCTTCTGGCCTGACAACGTCGATCTTGTTGATCACAAGGAAGACAAGCTTGTTGGCGAACAAGGGCTTGATGCTTCGGAAAAGCTGCATCTGCGCCTGCACGGTGTAGCCGCACTGCTCTGATAGATCCATAAAGTACAGAATGGCAGCGCGAAGATGAGCAATGGCGGTGATCGACTGCATCTCAATAACGTTCATCTCTTCGAGGGGGTGGTCAAGAATACCGGGTGTATCAACAACCTGGAATCTAAGGTACTTGTAGTCAAAGTGGCCGCAGAAGAGCGACTTGGTTGTGAAGGCCCATGGCTGAACATCCACATCGGCACGGCTGACGCTGCGCAAGAAGCTGCTCTTGCCGACATTGGGGTATCCGCAGACCAAAAGTGTCCGGGTGTTGGGGTCGATAGATGGCAGACGGCCAAGATGTTGGCGGACCTGGTCCAAGTAGGACAAGGGATCTTTGAGTCGCTTGATGATAGTGGCCATACGACCGAGGCCGGCTCGTTTCAGCTGCTTGCATTGGAAGAGACTTTGTCCGTACTGCGATACAAAGGATTAGGATTCTGCTCCATTGCACGATGAAGAACAGCGCTCCAGAGGCTTATACAATATCACTAACCTTCAGTAGACGAACATAATCCCTAGAGATCGTCTCAATGAGATGTTTTGCTGTCGACAACTGACCGAGGGCAATCCGGAAATGGTCCGCATCGTACAGAGTGTTGAGCAAATCGCGGTGGAACGGGTGGATATCGTTCAATCGTGGGAAAGCCTCCAGAATAGATCCAATCTTCTCAGATATCGTCTCCTGGGTAAATTTGACCTTCCTGGTGTAAAAGCCTCTGATACGGCTGATCTTGAAGCCGCTTCGAATTCTGTCATCACAAAGTCAGTTCGCTGCGAAACATTGGGTTATCTTGAGTGGAACGCACTGAGTCGGCAGCCGCCTTTGTGTGCGTGAGAGCACGACATCGAGGAATTCGGTCGACGTAGGGACCGGGGGAATGTCCTTCCAGCTCGTGGCAGACTTCATGGCGGGCAAGTCTGTTCGGTGGCGGCCTAGTATGTGTAAAAGTGAGGGCAATCGGTGAGAGTTTCGGCGGGCTGGGCTGGCTTGGATAAATTTCTTCCCCTATCAAAAAATTATCTGCGGCTACTTATCGATAAGGGCGGCGGCGAGGTTCCTATGAGTTGCAAAATGCGCCGGCAGGGGACCCCACTACATGTATTGTATGCCCCGCATTGGCTGGAAATTTTATAGTTATTCAGGACTTCTTGGCCGAAAAACAAGCAGTCGGGCAAGTAAGATTCCGATAATTCAAGTTATTTCATATGCAAGACGACTCGTTCTGAAGGGTCTCAAGCCAATTGATTGCGTATACGACATTCTCTATCCAGTATCAGATCTAAAACCATGGCAAGCCAAACCCTCGCGCCTTACAAGGCGACCTTCCTGCAGGCGGCCATCGATGGCGGGGCACTCAAGTTCGGCACCTTTGAGCTCAAGTCGAAGCGCATATCCCCCTACTTCTTCAACGCAGGCAACTTCTACCGCGCAGACTTACTGCGCGCCATTTCGACCGCATACGCCAGCGCCATCATCGAGGCACGCGAGCAGATCGGGCTAGAGTTCGATGTCGTCTTCGGCCCCGCTTACAAGGGCATTCCCCTGGCGACCGCCACAGTCGACAAGCTGGCCGAGCTCGACCCGGCTCACTACGCGCAGACGTGCTACTCGTTCGACCGCAAGGAGGCCAAGGACCACGGCGAGGGCGGCAACATTGTGGGTGCGCCGTTGAAGGGCCAGAAGGTCCTGATCGTGGACGACGTCGTCACGGCCGGCACCGCCAAGAGAGAGGCCATCGAGAAGATCCGCAAGGAGGGGGGCATCGTCGTGGGCATTATCGTGGCGGTGGACCGCATGGAGAAGCTGCCCGCCGCGGACGGCGACGACAGCAAACCCGGGCCGAGCGCCATCGGCCAGATGCGCAAGGAGTACAGCATTCCTATCCTCGCGATCCTGACACTGGACGACATCATCGAGGGCATGAAGAGCTTCGCCTCTGGGGACGATGTCAGAAGAACAGAGGCCTACCGCCTGAAATACAAAGCCAGTGATTAGAAGAAATCGACGTCTATTGAAGATGCCTTTGTCTATTCTTACACTCGAAATAAAACAAGCCAGAGAAACGCCAAGACGCCGTGCCACATGCACTTGAACGAACGAAGAAGATCTTTGCCCCTTGACCGTTCCTTGCTTTATCATTTTGCAAATGAGATAACGTTAGATGACCGCTTTTTATGCGAGCAAGAAGACGCGGGGAAACCCAATGCTATGTTCAAGGGGGCTTTGTGAAGCCAACAACTCGCAAATGGCCAGCTGGTGGCTAGCTCGATAGGCGGTTCCATGCCTGGAGCATACACAGAGCCGCCTTGCCTGTCAAATTCATTTCAGTTGGGCGGCTTATCAGAACCGGCAAAGTCAAAGGTCTGGTGCATATTTGTTAGCTTATAGGCGTCTAATGATTTAAAGCTCAGTATAGACTGTTCATATTTACCATATCGTGCCAGCCACCTCCTCCAAACTCTGCCTTGCTTTCTCCCTTGTGCTTGAAGCCGAAGCGCTCATAGTAGGATACCAGATACTGAAATAAAGTTAGCCTTTCACTTTGCGCAGTTGACCGCAATCCACAAGACTGACATCTTGGCAAATCAAAGCGATACGATCCGCAGCGGCAGAGTTGTTGATCTGCTGAAGGTACGACTTCATGATTAATTTGCCCAGGCCACAACCATGGAGCTTCGGCGCCACGGCGAGGGAGTGAATGCACACCGTGCGGCCGCCTTCCTGATGGCCCACCTCGGCCTTCTTCCCGTGAGCCGCCCTCCAGCCCGCCGGGATGCTCATGTCCTTGTCGGTGACTACCTCCGCATTAGAGGCCGTGGCGATGATGTGAGCTAGGAGAACGCTCACGGCGTGGTCCGCTCGATCGGTCTCGACCGGGTGAGCTGTCGCCAGTGTCTCCACCTGGAAGTCCTTTGCATGATCAGGGACGACAGTGCAGAAGATTCCCAGGCTCAGCTCTGGGCAGGTAGTGAGGCGGTATTCGAACTGTAGCAGGGTCACTTGTGTGAGTAGTGTTATGTAGCATTGCATATGTGTTTCTGAAGATCTTCTCGCCAGTATTGAGGATGGCGAACTCAGGGGCTCAGGAAATAGATTTCTTATGAAATAAGGATAGGAAGAGCTGTTCGCAAGCTTACCTTCTCGGGGGTGGCTCTGTGCTCCGGATGAGGGAATGCAGCATTCTCCAACGCAACGCAGGACTGCAAGTCGGATATGGTCAACGGCCTGATATTCGGCGCAAAAGGAAAGGGCAGAAGCTCCTGGATGCGATTGTCAGAGCAGTTACCCTTTGCCTCTCGTCGCTTCGCGCTGATGCTTCGCTGAATCATGACGCTGTGCAACTGGGGTTAGCTTTTACGTCCTGTGTAGAGGTCGTAGACGGGGTGACGCCAAGACCGGAGGCTAGGTGCATGTCTCTCGGGGGGGCGCCCTGAACTCCCGTCACCTGTGTAAGGCGTGGGCCTAAATAGGAAATTGAGGTCTGACTGACAATTCATCATCGCCGTCGCCATCGTCGATGGCACCGCTGTCGGACTCCTCGATCGAGGGCGTAGGATTCGCCACCTCTGGATCAGAAGAAACTGGCATGGTGGTCCAGTTGAAAGAGCTCGCTCTCAATAAGGTGACCTAATGCGGTGGGAGGGTCTTGTAAGTGGGACCTGGGATGAGTTCGAGGTGACAGAGGGGCGGCAAGGTGTAGAGTGGAGAGAGGACAAAGTGGGAGAAACCTTAGAAAGGATGAATCGGGACATGCAGCAAGCAAACTGCAGTGTTGGTTGGGCAGGAGTTTGTTTGAAGAGTCGAGCCACCAGTGAATGGATGAAATGAATATCATTTCCAGTCGCGTGACCGGTTTTGTTGGCAATGGGATGTCCTGCCGTCTCCAAACTGGCCCCAGCTGGCCTAGGGAGGCAAAAGGTCGGTCGGTAGGTGGAGGTGGAGTGAGGTGAACGTGAGCTACCCCAACTTGAATCCCAACCCAATCCAGCTGCCCACGGAAAAGAAAGAGTAGTTGACAACTCGGACGTTGACCCAGAGCTCGTTTAGCCAGGTTTCATCAATGAAAACGGAAGCCCATACATTTTTGACATCAAGCGAGTACTCGTCCGCTATGGTGATGAATGTTAACTCGACAAGGGTATCACTACCTGACCAACAAAGTATTACTACCCTTATAGAGGCTGATAGACCATGGTGCTTAATAGAATCTCCGAAACCTCAATGAATATCGTGATTCTCAACATTCAATATCTTCATCCTTGAAGACCTAATGTTTATTGACCTGGCGAAAGAGTATGGAGCGTCTCTAAACGAGGGGTGCTCTAACATGTACGTTGAGAAAACTTGGACGAGTCAACAGTACGGCAAGAAATACGAATTTTCAACTCAGGAAAGAATTGGATTGCCACTTTTGATTCGCCCGCCTGGCCCGTGCGTTGGACTTCAGCAGTGGATGCGCGCGCGAAGAACGAAAGCAAGGAAGAAAAAGATCAAATGAGTCCCCTTCCTGCACACCACCATATCTACCTAGGTAAGGTGCTCAATGACCCTGGGTTTTGAAAGCAAATGCCCATCGTTACCTGGTCGTGTGTCACGTCGGTATTGTCTCTGTGACTCTAACAGAACCAAGGATTCTCTTGGCAACGCCAATAGCGTGCGTTTTCTGTCTGCCAACATGGAAGTCAAAACTCACCAGCTGCCCTTAAAAACTATCTTACTTGACCTCTTCTATTTTTCTCCTTTCTTTTTCTTCTTCTTCGAGACAGCCAACTCTTTGTGCCTATCAGACTAATCAGATCCGACTAAACAAATCGTCCGTCTTTTCCATATATCTCGTCACTTGACACTAAGGCATGCGCGTGCGCTCGTGCGTGCGTGGTGTACGCTCGAAGGCCATAGATCGACACTCTCCAACAGACGACGTAGCCACTCATAATGCCTAGGTGCTCTCAGCAAGGAGCGTCAATCGCAAAGACACAGCACGGAAACATCTCTTGTATCAAATCATATCCCACGATGCGAAAGCTCACGCCCAAGATTGCCATTGATTAAATACTGGATAATTGACAGCACCAGTGCAAGCAAGTGCATGCATGCTCTCTTTCTACTCGGCCCACGATGCTGTCGATCAAGTTATCTTCCGAACACACTTCATTGTCGTCATCGTCACCATCAGAAGTCCCAAATCGTGCTCTCACAGCCAATGATGATAGCAGCTGCCCGGCAGCCCATCGATTCTGAGGCAAGGTGGTCCCCTAGAAGTTGCAAAAAGTGAGCTGTCAGCTCACGCTGACATTATGAGGTCCCCTCAGACGTTGTATGTCCTCTTTGCCGAAGCTCAGATCGTAACGATGCTCTTCACTGGGGGCCTCACCTTCAACTAATGCCAATGATGATACACCACTCTCCACAGACTGTTGAAACAGCCCTCGTAAACAGTGACAACACTGTTGAGGTAGGGAGGAGCTGGGATGTATGCTGAGGCATTGAGACGAAAGGGCTAGGACGAGCTAAGGAATAGGGGCTGACTTAATCGACAAGTCCTGGTGAGAGGGCGAGTTGCCTGGGTATTACTCCGTCAGTACGATTCTGAAGTGTCAGGATGGAACAGACTTACACCATCAAGAGTAGGGAAAAGAAACGTAGAAATCGTTTAATCCAGTCAAAGGCTGGTGAGTTCAATCCAGAGCATTGAACATGATTGTTTTGTTGCTAATCGTACGGTTGATACACTAAAGGCATCGAAGACAAGGGAATACACGAAGCATAAACAAGGAGGGATCAAGACGAAAATCAAGCTAGATGGTGATGGCTCGGGGATTCGGCTGTGGTGCAGCGCATGTAAGGACAGAGGGCTTGAGCGAACAAGGAGAGACACGAATTAAGTGGATAGGGGGAACAGGCAGTTCATCAAAGAGAGGGGGAGAGAGAGGAGAACATGCTGAGGAAAATGGTGATGGCGATCAGGAAGATGGAGAGGAGAAGATGGAGAGGAAGATGAAGAGAGGAAAATGAAGAGAGGAAGAAGAACAACAACAATAATAGACAAAGCTGGGGGGGATATATGGCTAGAGACTACGTCAAGAGAAAATGAATAGTTCCTTCCGCATGGTTTTTGCAACACAAACAATTCAGTATTAGTATCCAGTCAAGGATAGAGAGGCAGACCGGGTCTATAGTATCGAGGACATCGGCAGTGACAATTGGGAATTGTCTACTTGCATATACATCCTCGCTAGCATCAAATTCTGGCAGGAGAGATTGCATGTGAGCGAGTGAATACGAAATTACGTTTCTCAAAGCATACAGGAAGGCACAGATGATCACGGACTTCTATTCTGAGGTAGTAAACATAGCCATGGAACGTTTTCCTCTATAGACACTTTGATCTAAATGCACCTTCTTGGCATAAGACAATCCTGTAGGACACCAGTACAACAGTGCATGGCCAGCACCCAGTCGCAAAATGGAAGAGACATTACCGTACAGCCCGAATTGGTATGTGTGGTTCAGGGTGCGGCGACGCAGAGGCTTGACGTGGACCATCAGTTTCTGACAGGCGGCTTGTGACTATCATGATTGTGAACGTCAAGTTCGACCTGCATACTTGACTTCCTGTTGTCTCGGCTGTTTCTAAGGCTCTTCCTCTGTAGCTGTGAAATGGTAACTGAGGTAGGAGGTTATTGTAGTAGTAAGCACGAACGTCTTGTCGCTCTATCACTTTGTAAAATCGGGAAGCAGCGGTGCCCTTACTTTCCATTGGCAACATGCCATGACCAAAAGTCTATTTTGTCTGCTTCCATATAGTCATGGCTACCTACCTAAGTAGTTAACCTACCGTCCGTCTGCAGTCAATGAATACTTGTCAAGCACACCCTTGGAAAAGACGAGCTTGGCAGGAGCGTTCTGTTTATTGATTTCGATCAACACTGCTCTTCGCTGGGTATTGTAGAAGGGGTGTAATGAGGGTTCACTTGATGAAGGGTTGCTGTCTAGTATTGAGAGCTGCCGTTGACTGCCTCTCGATATGACTGGCTGGTGATGAAACTACCTACTGTATAAGGCATACCTTAGGTATCTAATCTACAACTTTGAATAGATCGCTATGGTGAGCTTGGAAGAAGACCTACCTCCCTACGTAGGTATGATCATGTATATAAGCGCCGGTCTAAATGTACTTATTGGGGCTGCTCTGCACTACCAGAAAAGGTGGGTCAATGCTCAGTAAAAACGGCAGCCAGAACAGCGGCACACGCTCTATTTATGGAACCATTGAGCAAAAAAGAAAAAGGATCTGCTAAGTGCATCCAAGTGGTAGGCAGGCTCTCTTCAGGAGCTCTCTCAGAAGGGAGAGTTCAAAACGATGTCGTAGGAATGATGGTCCTATGACAGAACCTTTAGATGAGACACGATCCAATCCCAACGAGTCTTCACCGGATTAAGCTTGACCAACGCAACGGATCAATATGACTTACTAGAGTTTCGAAGGGACTTCTGAACAGCCATACTACCAAAGGTTCAAGAGATTGCTCGTGGTTGCTGAAATACAGTTTGACTAAGCAGTTGCATTTATCATGAGATATTTGAGCCAGATGGTGGACGGACAGTAGCCCGTGATTAAACGCAGGTCTCTGAATCAGCCCAGGCTCTAGAGCCGCAGGAGTTGTGTAGGACAAACAATGACTATATGAAGTCACCTAGCTAGTTTCCGATGTGTAAAGGCTTACATGATCCGTCTCCGCCATTTCAGTGGCGCTCACACGAGGCTTGGCCACACGGCTGCATTGGCACAGCAAGGTCCAGGAAGAAATATTGCGATACATGCAAGCTCAAGTGGAGATTCCATTTCGAGTAAACCCATCGTGATCCAGAGTTCCTCAAAAGTACCAATGAGCTCGATCGAGTTGCTGCAGTCAGAATCACTTATGGCTAAGTAGGCCTGCACTTACACCCACCTGGGCAGAGAACCACCTGTATAGTGGGGGCTGGACAACGTCCTCACCACTGCGTGGCAGGAATCTTGGAGATTGGTGCCGTCAGAGGAGTGAAGAGCCAGACACTCAAAGCAGCTTGGGCGTCATAGCCATCTCCGTGAACACGTATATCAATGCTGTGATGTACTCGGTCTGAACGGCTTGAAGCCCACTCCAGCTTGAGGAGCTCGCATTGAATCGGCTTTGGATGGGTAGAAGCGCCTGTGTAACTGACGGTCATACAGGGATATATGCGGAGAAGACGGTCATTGCAGTGGGAGCCGCCTTCTCGAACGTTCATTCGTGTCTGTGAGCCCCCGCGGGCGGGGAGATGCAACTGCAGGTCGGTATAAAGTTGGCGTGGATGCCGCTGTCCACCATCCGTCCGTACAGTAGAGTGCATCCTTTCAGGTTGCATCAACCCGGGTTGATTGATCGTCGCCCCCAACCGACGCAAACCTAGCACAGGCTAAACTTAGTTTCCTACCTCTACACCTAGGTAGGTGTGCAGGACGAGTTGTGTTGGCCTCGACATGCCATGGTGTCGCACTGCACCAAGCACTTCGAGTAAGGAGACTATGTGAGCAGCTTCGTATCTGCCTCTGCTGAACCAGCTCCCCGTCGCCAACGCTCGTGGCGGTCAACCCAAAGCAGATGGAGAACATGCCGGTATGACTTCCGAGGCCAAGAACCAGAGATGTGCTTTCTTGGTCCACATGCTGCAAGGAGATGCGAGGGGTCTGCAGGATACCCAGATAGGGCAGGCAAGGCTGCGGCAAAGGGGGGGGGGAGGGGTTAGGATTCAGGGCAATGTGAAGTAGGGTTGCAAAGAGTACCTAAATACCCGAAAGATGTGAGCAGGTCAGCACAAACAAGGCATACGGATGGGCATGGCATGTAGAGTAGCTAGATTTGCCATCCGAGCGAGATAGAGATAAAGCTCATCCGATGTGAGGATTGCCAGGAGCCAGGTTCATCATGTAAGCCCTGCCCTGTATGTGCAACTCTATATAGTCTTAAGGCATACATACCATACCATACCATACCATACCAAAATAGAAGAACTCCTGACCGGTTGTTGTGTTTCTGTTCTGTTTCCGTTGCCCCTCCCAGCTGACGTATTTTCACATGTCTGACAAGAAACGACTCTCCTTCTGCTTCCTAGGGCTGATAATATGTTTATGGTGCTCTTCGAGTCACATTAGTTGCTTGGAATCATATATGTAGAGCTCTGAATCACCCTGGAAAGCCTTGCCGTCTATTTCCAAAAGACTTAGCCTCTGTTTGCTGGCATGACAGCTGAATTAAGGTAGGTAGTCCCCTACTTAGTTCTGCGCCGTAAGTATCCACGCATCCCACCTGCTGCCTTGGAGGGGTGCTCGGGGAGGTGTGCCAGCCCCACCTCTCCCGCATCGCCGGCTTCAGATCCCTGGGTCGCCGACCCGTTAGTCCTGTACCCTTCTGAAACCACTCAATGCTAAGCTCATTGGGGTGTCGCAGCAGGGCATTCGCGCAGTCCAATCCACTGGAAACCCCATGTTGGTCCGCTGACGGAGTAGCGGGTTAACAGGCTTGCCGGCCGCCTGGTCTGGGCCGGTAGCTTGGTATTGCTCCAGACCGTCGTCATTCTTTGCTTACGCTATGCTAATGTACCTGCCCGCCGCCGCCTCAACTTCTCTAAGCTTCCATCCCTCCATCCACTCACCTCTACACTCTACATTCCTCCACCACCTCTCCTGCCCCGACGGAAGGAAAATCCTCCAAGGCTCTTGACACGCCTTGCTATTGCCCGCTTCTTTTCCACCACGATCACCCTGCCGAGGCTTCACGACTACGCTACGTGCAGCTCTTCCAGCACAACAACCAAGCGCCGGCTCAAGCACCGCTATTGCACTGAAACAAGCCAGTCTGCATAGACTTCCTTACCTGTCATATCTCACTCGTCTGTCTAGAAGTCACAGACCCGAGCCATACCCACACCCTCGACGTACCTGCATCGGATGACAGCAGCCGTTCTATCGTGAAAATGTGAGTGCTATGTTGCGGCTACCAGGCCATCATCCCTATGCTGCAAACGGAAGCTGACAGCCGACACAGGCGGATCACGCTCAGCATCACCAATCCCGAGGTCGAGGACCAGGATCTTCTGTCACTAGATGTCTTCCCCGACATGACCCTGGAGACGCTACGAAACTCCATCCAAGCCGAAACACAGATCCACCCCACAGCACAGCACCTTTACCACAACGGCCAGCTCATAACAGATGATACCAAGACAATGGAACAGCTCAGGATAGGCGACGGGGAAATGCTAGCCCTGCATGTTAGAGACATGCGGGGGAGCACAGGAGTGCCCGTGGCAAGTAGGGGACAGCAGCAGCAAGAACGCAGGCGGCCAGAGGCCGGGGCCGGTCAGGATCCTGAGTTGATCCGCCTCCAGATCCTCGGAGACCCGAGACTACGCGCTGAGGCGCTGAGGCAGCAACCCCAGCTGGCGGCTGCTCTAGAGGACCCTCAGAGATTTGCACAGCTGTTCAACGAGAGCTATGATCGTGAGCGGAGGGAACGTGCCGAGCGCCAACGACAAATCGCTGCTCTCAACGCCGACCCCTTCGACATCGAGGCCCAAGCTAAGATCGAGGAGATCATTCGACAGGAACGGGTCATGGAGAATCTTCAGAATGCTATGGAGCATAACCCCGAGGGTGAGCACCACCCCCTTGCATCGAGTGCGCGCTTTCGCAACTTGTACTGACTCTCCAAATAGTTTTCGGCCGTGTACACCTGCTGTATGTTGATGTCGAGGTTAACGGACACAAACTGAAGGCGTTGGTGGACTCGGGTGCACAGGCAACCATCATGTCACCCGCTTCTGCTGAGGCTTGTGGCATCATGCGTCTGATTGACAAGCGGTTTGCTGGAATTGCCCGTGGCGTTGGTACAGCAAACATTATTGGTCGGGTACACTCTGCCCAGATCAAGATTGGGAGTTTATTCTTGCCTTGCAGTTTCACTGTGATGGAGGGCAAGTCCGTGGATCTCCTTCTGGGCCTCGATATGCTCAAGCGCCACCAAGCAAGTATAGACTTGGCTAAGGACAAGCTCATCATCCAGGGTGTGGAGATACCCTTCCTGGGAGAGGCAGATATTCCCAAGGAATCCGAGGAAGCCATGGTGGAAGAACCGACAATTAGTGGACCTGGAGGCACCACGATTGGTGCGCGATCCGGCGCTGTCTCTGCTCCTGGGGGTCCTGGAGGACCTCCGGCACCACCAGCCCCTTCATCTTCACAAACTCCTATACGCCAGGCACCACCACCTTCGAACCCCCCCAGCCAGACATTTCCGAATGAGGCGATCGAACAGCTCATGCAGCTGGGCTTCTCGAGAGAAGCAGCAATCAATGCATTGCAGGCCACTGGAGGTAACGTGGAGTATGCTGCCGGCCTGCTCTTCCAGGGTTGAAAAGATACACGCAAACATACAAAGCTCGGCACGGACGGATATGGCATAGCGAAGGTCAGTACAGGGCTCGGAACATCACAGATTCTAGAGGGCGTCAATCGGCGTATGACATCGCTAGCGCATAGGGTCATTTTAAGCATCGGAACGTATTTTTGGTTTATCTTGGTCTTCTCACCCCCCCTGTTTGTAGATCGCTTCGCTCTGGCGTATGTTGGTGGTCACTGATTTGTTCTACGTGCTGCTGTCGCTACAGTTTTCTGTTTTACAGCAGGATGTCAGGCTCCCACAGCCAAAGGATCTAGTAATAGCTAGCCTCTAGAATTAATATACGTGCCAACGTCACCCCCCTTAACGGATCTTGTACACGCATGGCTTCAGGATTTTTGCCTCGTTGACTTCTCCGTCGGCTTCATCTTCGATGAACTTTTTCTTCATCTTCCTCTGCCCGTCGAACGCTGCTTCTCTCGCCTTAGCAGCCGCCACCCCCTTGCCCTTGACCGGTGATAGTGCCTTGACAAAGCGCATTTTGACAAACATCTTGTTGCTAAGGTCAACCGCTTCCTCAGCCTCGCCTTGTAGGATAAAGCCCCGCTTCCGAAGAGCTTCGAGAAAGGCGGACACGTCTGTCTGCTGACGCTTGTCCTCGACGCCGTCAACTTCAACCGCGAGCTCCGTCTCGTTTGCTTCGGGGTCGTCACCATCCTTGGATTTGCCCTTCTTCCCGGCCGCGGCGGCCTTCTTGCGGTTCCCGACGCTGTGCTCAACCACCTTGCCCGGGCCACCGCCGCCCTTCTTGCCACCTCCCACGGCGCCGAAGCGACTCTTGATCTCGGCGATCCACAGCTCGCCCTTCCACCGCAGCACGCGGTACGCCTCCTCGACAAAATCAACCCAGTTGGTGCCCATGAGCGCGAGGCAGAAAATGGCCAGGTCGACCGCGCCGTCGGCGAGCGGCAGGTTGGCAATGTCCGCCTTGGTGACGAACTCGGCCGGGCTGTGTAGGTCGTAGCTGAGCACCTCGAGCCGCAGCTTGCGCTTGTCGGCCTGCAGCTCCGACGCCAGCCGCGCGTCGCCGCACCCCAGGTCCGCGATCACGCACGTCCCGTCCGTCCGTGGCAGGGGCTGCGCGCCGCCCCGCGCCGCCTGGTGCGGAGCGTGGTGCCGCCGGTGCTGGTCCTTGGGAGGGTACCGCGCGCGCCCGCGCTGCCGTATGTCGGCGATGTAGCCGTCCACGGGATTCTCGGGCCACACGCCGACCTGGCGGCGGAAGCCCTCGTGGTACTCCTGGAACATCTCGGGCGAGTCCTGGAAGAGCTGGTAGGCCTCGGCGGATGGTCGGGTGTACAAAGTCTCGTTCAAGTGCCGGAATCGAGCAGACACAAGCTTCTCGCGCATAGAAGCTTGCAAAGGCGTCAGTTTCGGTGCCGGCTTCGGTGCTGGGACGAGTTGCTGAGCCTGCGGTGAGGTGGCTTGGGCGTCTGGCTGCTCTTTGGACTTGCTCTCATCATGGTGCTTCTTCTTCTTGTCCTTCTTTTCTCTCTTCTGCTTCTTTTCAGACTTGTGCTCTGACTTGCTAGCCGAGTTAACCTGCTTAGGTGACTTCACAGAATCCTTCTTCGGAATTGTGTCTTGAGTAGATTCGGTCTTTTGGCGCTTCTTCTCACGCTTTTCCTGCTTTTCCTTCTCGTCCTTAGGCTTCTTTTCAGCCGATTTCTTCGGCACATCCTTGTGCTCTATCACTCTTTCCCAGAGGTCAGCGACGTTGGCGGCCGTGACGTTTTCATTTGTCCGTCCAGGTCTCTTGCGCTTCTTGGGCTTTGGTGCGGATGGATCACCATTTGCAGCTGAGTTTGTGATCTCCGACTTCAGCTTGTCCGCTGAGACGGACCAACCTGGTACTGCAAACATCCTTCTTGCCGGCCAAGTATATTTCTTTGGCGCTTTTCAAGACCAAGTTCGTCTAAAAGAGATGTCAGTGATAGCAGAAAGATGCTTGTGCAGGAAATTTTGGTTTTCTCCAGCCTATCGATAACGATAGCCGATAAGGTAAAGCACTCGGAGGTCGGGAGGACGACCCACATTATTACATATTTCACTGCAGTTTTAGTCCCTCCGCCGGGATCGCTGTCCAGAATCTGAATACTTTACCAATTCATACCCTGATATTCTTCGCTTTCTCTCTCCAGCTAAGTTTTATAGGTTTTAAAACCCTCGGAAGACTCTGTAATGAACTATATTATACTCTCAACATCCAAGTAGCAAGCCAAAGCACGATACGTCGACTGCAGGTGCAGCGAGAGCCTGGAAATAAGTTAGGTATGCCTAGGTACTTACAATTTGGTCGTCTTGCCAATGCCTCAAGCCGGGGGAATTATTTGTGTCAGGTGTTTAAAGGATGCCTAAGACAATTTTACTATGGGAGCAACCACCAGGCCAAGAAGACGACTGGGCAGCCGGACGTTAGGTGCAAGTCATTGGTCGATATCGCCTTGCGGGCGTATGCTGCATGTCATGGCTTCTACCTGTGGAACCTCACGCTTTCGTCTTCAAGGCAGAAGTGTCCGGCGAATTGACGATATTCTGTGCGACTGAAGAATATGCCAGGTAATCTGACCAGTGGGGCTTGCTTGGATGAGTTTGGCCGTCTTTAGCGAGAGAGAGGGTCACTGCATTCAGTATTGCTACGATCTCCTGGTCCAAACTCAAGTCACCTCCCGGGGGTGTACAAGGACAAGGACAAGGACAAGGAACTAATTTCTCCTTTAGGACTGTCGGTCGTGGGCAGGAGCCTGGCCAGGACTCAAGACAACCCTTGACTGTGACTATCACTTCCAGAGTTGTGAAGCTCCTGGCGTCTAGGAAACTCAGGCCTCCAGCAACGCACAACGTCCTGTCTCACAGGTATAGTCTCATTCCGGATCTCACACGACGATGCTTTGCCAGATAAGGTTGCCACGCGGTTGTCCGAGGTGCCACCGAGGTACGGAAAGTATGCCAGCAACATATTTGGCGAGGTTGCATTGTCCACATTGTCAGGTTTTGAATCCATCTGGTCCAGTAACGGGGAAGCTTCTTCGGTGCTTCTTCTCCAACTCCACCATTGACAGTTTGGCGCCTTAACCGTCCAGGGTATCCCATATGACTTCATTGAGGCGCTTTCCTCGATGTGGGGTAAGCGCAGGTGTGGCAGCCCGAACAAGATGGCAGCTATCATGGACCTTCCTCGGCAACTTCTCAGCAAGGAGCATGCGAAACGAGGGTCTACGGACTGAGCTACTGCAAATATTGTCAATTGTTGAGCAGACGGCACTTGAATCATATTGCACTAATTATGCAAGGCCAGTGTCTGGCCCATGACTCGAGGCATTTCTCCAAGGCAGACTTACACCTCCACCGCCTCGGCCGGCTCTCTTGGGATCCCTGGATTTCGCGTGGCCGACATATGGGACCCCATTCCTCTCTCCGTGTAGTGACGGCGCACGGCGGGGGCAGCAGAGCCCATTCGAGCCATTCTGCCCTTCCGGGGCATTCGGGTGTGGTTTTTGATGGAGCAAGGAGTCCAACAGGTTCAGACTCTGCATCGACCGCACAGCGCCAACAATGAACGGTGTTCGGCCTAGTGTAGACTAAAGCATGTTGGCAGGCGATCGACACCTACTGGCCCGGAATTTCCCACCACCAACAATCAACCATCCCCAAAAGAACCATCCCAAGGACGACAGCATCACCCCCCATGTTGAAACTCTACAGAGTCTACCAGCGGGTGCTTGGTCCGCTATCAGATCTTTCTATGACAGTCACACGTCAAACATAACTCTACGAGACCACCGAGGCTTGTATTCCCTGGGCTAATTGAGTAATTCAGTGTCGTAGTCGTCCTAGGGCCTTCTTTTCCATCAACTAATTACCTTCTGGTCGCTAGGTAGTTCATGGACAAACCCAGACCACCTTGCCTGTTCTACTGTACGATGTGCACTCTGGGCTGTTCGTGCACAAGATCTCCAATGATCTCCTGCGGCTGCGAGGGGCAATGAGGATCGATGACATCTAGAGACTCTCTCCCTTTCATGTTGCACGATCCAGTGCGCAGAGTTTGTGTTGCACGACGAGATTTGCCCGTGTTACATTTACTCAATAACAGTGCAGCACCTGAGCCACCCCTGACCCTGAAAGAACACTGCAGGCAGGGCATGATTGGCCCTGTGTCTACTATGCAGTAGGTCCGTTGGAGAAGACCAGGGAGATGGGAGGCTAAGAACGCAGGCCAGCAGATCGCTGGCAAGGCAGATGCTCTTCCTCCTCGGCCCTCCTTTACGATGCAGCAACTACCGGTAGACTAGCCCGCGATCAGTGAGTGGCATGAAAGAAGGAGAAAAAATTTATCTTCGGTGTCCGCTGTGCGGGTCAGCCTTTCTCAGTAACTCTCCGGATGTGCGCTTACATGTACATAGCAGATATGGTATGGGAGTCCTTGGGCTGCTCCCTCTGCCGGGTCTCTCGGCGCCAGGCTTGGGAGCGGTTTGACTCGTTTGCTTGCCAAGTCGACATCGTGCCTTAGTTCACGTTCAGTTTCATGTTCCATGTTCATGTACTGTCCTTTTTGACTGCCGTCGCTCCTTCTACCTGCCCTCAGCTACCTTACTGAAATGTCAGGTAGCTCAGGCAGGTTGGCCGGCCTCCTGCCTGGCCGGCTCGCTGGCTGGCACACCACCTACGTCAGGTAGATACAGTACCTATCTAGATACCTAATAAGCTCTTCACATTCTCATTATTCACACCACACACCAGAGCAGCCAGTCTGAATGTATGAAATCGGGCTTACTGGGATGCTGGGAATTTGTCCAATCGTCGCCTGTGGCCCCCATGCATGCGGCATCAGTGGTCTACTGCGTAGTAATTCCGCCAATTTAGAAGCCCCTGTTCCGCTGTGCGCCCATTGTGCCGGCCCCCTGAGCCTCCCCCCCCTCCCCCCCTCCGTTTAGCGCGCAAATCTTATCGCACAATCCCCATTGAACACCACGGGCTGCTGCCGCTTGCCTCTATTTAGAAGAGCCCAAAGCTCGAGCCTGTCCGGCCCCTGCAAATGATCCTCAACGGGGAACAGGTAGTGAGGTAGTCTCGACGCCTCGCCCGTCGATCCAAGCCTCTCTGCCGTGAGAAGCGGACTACTACTGTATGTACTATGTATGCTACTGTTGTGTGCTAGGGAATGTGTGTACTATGTACTGCAGTACTCTAAATTAGAGCGAGGTTTATGCACCCCGTACTATTGCGTATGCCACAGGGGCAGCCATCTTCTCATCACATACCACACTTGGAAGACGAGGATGCACTGCACTATCTAGGGTAGTCTAGGTAGGTAGGTAGGTATTTTTGGAGATCTCCCCCCTCTGGCTCCGCACCATCATCATCGCCCCGTCGTCTTCAACACCATCCGTAGGTAGTAGCACCTCACCACTAACGTCCGTTGCAACTTTCGCCGCCAAGGGTTAGTGGCCGGCCTTAGTTAGCTGTCTGTCTGTCTCTCTGTCTCTCAGTCCACCAGCACCGCCGGCCTTACAGTCACTCCGAGGCTACCGCCTCGAACCTGGTCAAACCGATACCTTTAAAAGGTAGTGCCTCCCGTCGCGCATATCTTGCGCGTTGAAGACGTTGGCTAAAGCAGCTCTAAGCCAAGCAGCGCCAAGCAGTTCCGACTCAACGACTCGACACTCTGCGGTCTAGCCAGCATTCTTGTCTTGTCTACCTTTCCCGGCTCTGTGGACTCGGTGACAAGCCAGGCGGGGCAGGTCCTGAATTGGAGGAAGAGAAAGAAGCTTGCACCACCTCGTCTCTTTCCCCTGTTGCTCGCCGTCCGTTCGCTTCCGCATTGCATAGTCTCAAGCACTGCTTGCTGCTCTCCGAACGGACCTAGATCCGGGAATGATAAGGGCGGAGCACGCTGCGGACTAGTGTATGCTACTATCGACGTCTTTGATCCGCCGTTCATCTGATTAGAGCTCTCATCAAGACCCTCAAGACCCTTCTGGGGAGCCACTTCCGCGTGCTGGGTGGGCCGTCGAGCAGAGGGAGAGCTTGGCTTTGTATATACGTATAAGACACCAGAGTACAACCTCACAGGACCAGTCCTCGCCCAACCACGCTTACCGATGCACACAAGACGACCCAACAGTTACACCAGCTTGTTTCAGTCGAATTCAACCAGCTAGCTGCCTTATATACTTGGTCCGGCCTCTTCTCCTCTTTCTTTGGCTGACTCCCTACCCTCTCGAGCGGTAACTGCGCACAGCGGCGGAAAATAATTGCCCTGTCTTGCTTTCTCTATCCTAGCTGCCAATTGTCTCGGCCAGAGACCAGACGGTTCACCTCCAGCCCATTCCCTTCTTTGCCAGTCAGTCTCGTTGCCGGGTACGGTCCATGGCACCGTGTGGGCTTGCGACGAAGTGCCCCATTTCCGGGTATCCCAGCTACGATGTGAGGAGCGGCCTCGACTGACGGCTTAGCGGGTCTCTTCAGCGTCCATATACTTAACAGCTTTTCTCGTTAAAATCACAGAATACCTCCTATCAGATGGCTTCTACTGAGGTAACGCCAGAGGCGTCGTCGGACAGCAACCGCGCGGACGAGTCTCAGCCTCAGGAGTCTTCCCCGACAACCGACAACAAGGACAACCCGCCCCCTAAAAAGGCGAATGTCAGGAAACGAACCAAAACGGGATGTCTGAGTATGTAACAGGGCTCTTCACATTCCTTCATGTGGTCTTGGAAGACTTGTGTATCATCTAACCTCTCTTCAGCCTGCAGAAAACGTCGAATTAAGTGCGATGAGGGCAAGCCCACTTGCAACAACTGCATCAAATCCAAGAGACAATGCGAGGGCTACAATACCAGAGTGGTCTTCAAGGAGCCGATGGGAACCTACCAAGGTGGCCCCTTCGGACCCATAGTTTATCACCCTGATCCAACCGACGCCCTCGTTTCTGCCCAACTCTCTTCAGCTCAGTCAAAGTCTTCCTCCTCTCAAGGTGGCCCTCTTCCTATCATTGCGCCCAAGCCACCTTCAGTGGACTTTGGCACGCCGGCTACTTTCCAATATGCGCAAGCTTATCAGGCACCGCGAGCGGACTCCACGTCCTCGATGCACTTTAATCACATACCGTATAGCGCACAGCATGCTGGGAACACGCCCGTTTTCTCGCCTGACTCCCATAGAAAGACATCCTTCCAAGGGCATCAAGGAAGAGCTGACGCTTTCCATTATTACAACGTCTCGGAAGCTACGAGTCATGCTCATCATCCAAGAGATGATGTGGCGCACACTATTCACCAGCAACCCGACTTGCACCGGGCTGAGAGCTCCGATCTGATCTCTCCCACAGATCACCCCCACGCAACGTATATTGGGCCCGTGGCAGACGACGGATATTGGTATTCTGACGATGACGCCTCTATGGGCGAGTCTGATGACGAGTTCGGCCCAGAACAACATGCTGCTAATCTCACGTCGAATGACCTTGGTGTCTTGGTTGCAAAGCGTTTACATGCCCCTTTCGACCCGTATGGAACGCAGGTCCGGTCCTTCCATACATTCGCAGACGATAATATCCTTGCCACTTATATCCCGTCATCTACAAATTCCCCCCTAAATGATGCTCAGACAGCTGCTATTTTCTGGTATTTCGTCAATGTCACGGGTCCAAGCATGTCGCTGTATGAGCGACATCCATTTGACCCATCTCCCATGTTTCAGGGAGAGCCTGTCCCAAAGACTAAGCAGCATATATGGACATGTCAGTTGATTCTAGAGAACGTGAGCGGCCTATGGCTAATGTTTTGCAGACACTTTCCCCATAATTTCGTTCAATCACCCTGCGTTACTGCAGGCAATGCTTGCGCTTGGTAGCCTTCAGATGGCAAAGCTGCAAGGCGTCCCCGCGACAGCATCTATGAAACACTACCATCTCAGCTTGCGAAGAGTTGCGAAGAACTACCAAAGTAATAACAGACGAGCCCAACCGGCAACCCTCGCTGCCACTCTGTTGCTGGGCTTTTATGAGGTTTGGAACTCAGACCACGACAAGTGGTGTAAGCACATGTGGGGGGCACGAGCGATCATTAAAGAGATACCATTGCGGCAGATGACGCAGTCGATCCTTGCCATCAAGCGTATGAAACGACGCGAAGAGCTCCGGCGTCAGCAGCAACAATATGACAGCTTTATGCCGTCACATCACGACATCCTTGATAACGATGTGGAAGATGTCGACGTGAACTTGGTCCGAGAACTGACCGGACGGCCTGTCTGCTTCGAGGACGACCACGGGGCTCCGCCTCCAACCCACGTCAGATACACCGAGAGAGATTTGGAGAACTATGAGCATATAAGTGACCTTTATTGGTGGTACTGCAAAATGGATGTCTACCAGAGCTTTCTCGGTGCTACAAAGCCATTGTACGTCCCCATTAGTCGCATCTAGAAACGAAAGACTAATGTTGAATAGCTTGGAGTACGAGAAGTGGACCCAGTGTATACCTCGAGCCCCCATCGGGAGGATAGACGCAATGTGAGTTTTGTGCTTCTTCTTACCAACGATGCTTGACTAAGCCATGGTTAGATATGGGACCTTTGACCATCTCATGTTGGTCCTCGGACGCCTCGCAAGTTTTGCGTCTATAGATATGGCTCGGAAGAGAAGGGCAATGAAGGAAAGGGGTGGGCCCGGCGGACCAGGAGGTCCCGGGGGTCCCCCCGGCCGTCCCGGAGGTCGTGGAGGACCGCCCGGGCCACCTGGCCAGGGCAACTCTCCGCCGATGTTTGCGGGAATGATGCCGTCTAGTGGACGGGTCACCGTGCCAACCGGCTTCAGCCCACCGCGAGATATTCCAACTGCGGAGAGCAGTGACAATATCGATCTCGAAACCAGCACACAGGCCGCCTTGGAAGAATGGGCCGCCATCCGGCGAGCCTTTGAGGTCTTCAAGTCCAAGCTGGGCCAGGACTTTGAGCCGATGAGCCCCGAGTTCGAGCCGCCTCAAGCCACACCATTTGGGCTGGCGCTCACATACCGCACGTACAGCATTGCTGGAATCTGGATGAACTACTACATGGGTATGATAGCCTTATATAGGGCGCACCCGAGCATGCCTCCATTCGCTATGGTCGCTGCAGGCATGGCTGCAAGGTCAACAGCCGGCTACGCAATTGAGATTGGTCGAATCGCCGCCGGTCTCGCTGAGGACTCTGCTACCGTCTCGGCTATCAGCACCCTAGTCGGAGCTGCTTTTATTGAGAGCTGCTTCTGCCTCTTTGTTGCTGGAGTCCAAGTAAGTTCTTGCCATTTGTCTCATCCCAAAAGTTATCTGTCTGACATACAACCTACAGTATCAAGATCCCGTCCAAAGACACTGGACCATCAGACGTTTGCACGACATTGCCCGGCTGACTGGGTGGCAATCCGCGAGGCAGATTGCTAATGGGTGCGAGAGCGCATGGAGGAAAGCAGCAGACCTAGGGCACGGGCCGGGATATGAGAGAGATCCTAACTTGACCGCTGAGGAGCACGAGTCCGTGTGGGCGAATCCACGGCGTATTGACGCGAGGATTAAGGAACTGAGTGGGGACGAAGACAAGCTGGTGTTGGCCAAGTCTGAGAGAGCACACTACGCCCTTGGACTGTTGAGTGTTGAGCAGGATCTAGAAAAGCTGGTTTTACAAGAACGCGGTTGAGACGACACGTTCTCCATGTAATTACGTATTGTTGTTTGTCACATGAAGCGACGATATTCGGCAAGGCAAGCTTTAGCTCTAGATGATGTTTACGGATTGGCATTTTGAAGATCAGAATGCTATTCTTTGACGAGGGAACCGCTTATCTGAGGGTTCCTACACTAATGATACAAGTCGTAATTCACCTGCGCCCTTGATTGGGCAAGGCAATCGTTTTGTGAGCCGCATGTCTTCACATTCAGACCCTCTAGCATAGTCAAGTCCGAGGCCCGGAGAGCTCTAGTTCGCTGGTAGGCGCTCTACGACGGCGGCCATCTCCTCATCTGTGTATATCCTGAAGCCCTTTTCCTTGGTAACACTCGCCAGCTGGACGTTCTTCGAATCTAGCTTCTCCTCCATGACTTGCTTCAGGGTCTTCAGGACCAGGGTCTCAGCATCGATGATGGTCAGTGACTGTAATCATATCAGCTTTGTGCTCCGCGCCAAGGTGCCTGAGACCAGGACAATCAAAGGAGATCATGGCTACCTACCTTGTGATACTCGTTCTGCAGCTCCGCTTGTGCGCCCTCACTTCCACTGCCAATAGCCTTCGCGTCGTAGCGGTAGAAGGTGCCACTGGGCTCGGCGTGGTACAGGCTCGGGCCGTCCTCGTCGTAGCCAGCAATCAGCAGGGCGACGCCAAAGGGCCGGCTCATGATGCTCTCCTCGCCGTCGGCGGACTCGCCGAAGCGCAGGGCCAGGTCGCAGATGGCCTGGGTGCAGGACTCGACGCGCAGGGGCTCGTTGTAGTTGAAGGCGTGGCTCTGGCACTCGACGCGGGCGTGCTCGACCATGCTGCGGGCGTCGGCCTGCAGCCCGGACATGGCGCACCCGATGTGCCGGTCGATCTCGACAATCTTCTCGACGGACGACGTCTCGAGCAGCGTCGACGTCACGCGCTTCTCGACGCCCAGCACCACGCCCTCCGACGTGGCCACCCCGATGGCTGTTGAGCCGAGCTTGATGGCCTCGAGCGAGTACTCGACCTGGAAGAGGCGGCCTTCGGGCGAGAAGGTGTTGATGCCCCGGTCTGCGGTAGGTGAATTGTAAGCAGGAGGTTTGGCAGAGGGAGCTTCATGCAGCAAAAGTACTGACCGTATTCTGATCTTGCCATAAACATCTTGGCGATATCGTGTGATGATCCCCTCTAAGTCGTGATCTAGGCGCTTGCACGATGTGGTTCGTTGCAGGTTGGGGGAATTGGGGAGCCAGAGTGGTGGTTTGCTGTGGTGATGGTAATGCTGGAAGCTCCAGGCAAGCAAACCGTCTACGCAGCTCCAGCCTCAGCCTGAGACCCTAGTTCAGTGCCAACAGGCGGCTCAGAGCTCCCAGCAGCCTCCCACACCGCCCTACACACCTCAAACCAATCAGAGCTCACAGCCCACAACCCACCTCCAAGGTACGTAGATTTACCGATAAGACGCGCCCACCGTCAATTTGACCGCGATTCTAGCTGTGCTGCACTATCGAGTAAACATCTCTCACGATAGAACGATCTGCGCCAACACTCGCACCGCCGCCAAATGATCGAGGACACTGCGCAGCCCTTCGTCAGATGTAGACCGCAGCCATGTCGTCTGCTTCCATCCGAACCTCCACCACGTACACGGACCGGAGAGCCACAAATGGCACGTCCGCGGGGGACAAGGGCAGACCCCGCATGAGCGCCCACGACAGCTTCAAGACCCAGCAGTCTGAATCTAAGCAAAAGGCACCGTCGCCGCAACCGCAGTTCGCTGGGACATCACATAAACGATCCGCTTCTGGAAATCCCAGGCCGGCGAGTCGAGCTACCGAGGAGAGGAGGACTGAGAGACATGTCGTCACGACGCGGGAGACACTAGTGTCGAGGACGAAGAGCCCAGATCGACGAAGCGCGGCGGCTGCTCCAAGTGCGAAGGGCAGGGGAACTGATGGAGAAAGACAAAGAGCATCAGAGGCGAAAGTAAAGGATACTCGCGCTGAACCACCTCCGCAAGGTATGTGATTCTGGCCGATTTACTCTATGGATTTCACTAACAGTGGCATGCAGCCCCTTGGGAGCCGGAGGCAAGCTTACTTCCGCACACGTCTGCTCCTCTCGCGTCTCGAATATCTATCCCACCCTTGGCATCGCAGGCGCCACAGTCCGTCCAACCAAACCCTCTCCATGAAATGTCTCTCGAGGCTCAAGAGGCCGTTATGATCGAAGACCTGCTATTCGTATTCATGGGGTTTGAAGGGCAATACATTCGCTTTGCAAAGGGATACAATCCTCATGAGGAAAGAGACCGACTCTCGGGCCCGACTTTTCGAATACTTCCGGGGCTAGATCCTAGCCTATTGGACCTTACATCATCCATGCTTAAGATGGCGACCCATTACTCTGCTTTGGAGACCTTCGTGGATGTGCAAAGCAGAGAGGAGTTTGGTTCCGTCAACCACGCCCTCTGCGCTTCGATCCGCAAATTTCTACAAGACTATCTTATCTTGATCGCTCAACTAGAGACGCAATTTCTCACAAACGACACATTCACCCTTCATGTTCTAAATATCCATGTTCTCCCCACCAGCCAGATGATGTTTCAGCTCTATGCGTTAGCGCACGAGTTACTAAAAAGAAACGCACTGCTGGATGATGAGACGGACGAATCAAGTAACAGCGGCGACGACTTTGACCACATTCTTGAGCAGCTCAGAGAAGGCGGAGATTTAGTCCCAGGCAATATGACTGGGAAGAAGATTTGTAAGGGAGGTGTAGTACTGGGCCTTATCACCAAGAGGCTAGAAACAATGTCAGGAGACCCAGCCGCTCGAGCGTTACTTACAACTCTCCTACGAGACGCCAGCCGACCATACATGGTCATGCTGAACGAATGGCTGCACCATGGTGGGATCAATGACCCGCACGCAGAGTTCCTCGTTAAGGAACAGAAAAGTATAAGGAGAGAGCGTTTGGAGCAAGACTATACGGATGAGTACTGGGAGAGGCGGTATACCATCCGCAAGCATGACGTCCCTCCGCAACTCGAAGGTGTCAAGGACAAAGTGCTACTCGCGGGCAAGTATCTAAATGTTGTTCGGGAGTGCGGCGGAGTTGATGTCAGCAAGGAGGTTAAAGATGTCCCAACGTCATTCGACGACAACAGATTCCTCGACAATGTCAATAATGCCTATGCTCATGCCAACGAGTCGTTGATGCAACTGCTCTTGACAGCTCATGGCCTCCCAGCGCGACTACAGTCCTTGAAACACTACTTCTTCCTGGACCCATCTGATTACTTCTCATACTTCCTTGAACTCGGTGCTTCAGAGCTTCGTAAGCCAGTCAAGTCTGTTAACACCGGCAAGCTACAATCGTTACTTGATCTGGTATTACGACAGCCAGGCAGCATTGTCTCTCTCGACCCGTTCAAAGAAGATGTCAAGGTGGAGATGAATGAGATTACTCTAGTCAAGTCTTTGCAACGAGTGGTCAATATCACTGGTATTGAACAAGGCGAGGCTTTACAGCCTCTTGCAAATCAGACTATAGACAATGACAAGAACGCCATCGGCTTCACGTCATTGCAGCTGGACTATGCAGTCCCCTTCCCAGTCTCCCTAGTAGTAAGTAGGAAGACTGTTTGGAGATACCAAGCCTTGTTCCGGTACCTTCTATCTCTTCGATACTTGGAATCTCAGCTGTCTACTACCTGGCAGACTCATGCCCGGGGCGTTACCTGGTGTCACAAGAGCTCTTCGCGAAATCTGGAGATTTGGAAGCGACGTGTCTGGACACTGAGGGCTCGTATGCTTGTGTTCGTGCAGCAATTACTATACTTTTGCACAGCTGAAGTCATCGAGCCGAACTGGCAGTCTCTAATGTCTCGTCTCAAGGAAAAGGATGATGCTCAGGGTGGCCCAAGAGGCTTGACTAGGACGGTGGACGAGTTGATGCAGGATCATGTGGATTTCCTCGACACTTGCTTGAAGGAATGCATGTTAACCAACAGCAAGCTTCTCAGGGTGAGTCTGCCTGTATCTATTGTAAGAAGGGGTATTCGCTAACTGAATTTATAGATTCATTCAAAGCTCATGCAGACCTGCACCATCTTCGCCGCCTACACAAATTGGCTCTCTAGAGAGTTGGAGAAGTCAGACCCTGACCTAAGCGGGACGACAAAGCCACACGGTATGACAGAAGAGCAGTGGCGACAGTTCCAGGCTGTGAAGAGCCAGAGGCAGTCTTCTTCCCACAATGACTCGGGCATCTCTAACAAGGATGGGCAAGATACCGACGCAAGGATCAACAATTTGTTTGAGATTATGAAGAAGTGGGAGGGCAACTTCAGCCGGCATCTTCAGATCCTGCTCGATGCGCTAAACCACTACGCTGCCACGGAGACCGTAGTATTACTCAGTCTTTGTGCACGGCTTAGCACTGCTAACCAGGGCACCGAGTATGCTGGGCTGAGACATGATGAAGATATCGTGATATGAGTATGATATACCAATCTCCTTTGTCTAGACTGAAGGCGGGCAGGAGGACCGTGTTAAGAGCATGCATGTGGATTCATTTTGTAAGGCGTTTTCACAGGGGAAAAGCCCTGTACTAGTCCCGCTTATCGATCGAGCTGGGGATTGGGCAATGACAGTCTAGGCAGCTGTGAGAGAATAGCTCTCAAGAAATCGAAAAACTCGAATAAGATGCAGAGGGTTTCGTTTGGTGAATTGACGATAACGTCTGCGTCTTAATCACATGGCATAATTACGTGCTCAGTTTAAGATGGTCGTTTTAGTCATTCGTGCTATTGGCGGGTTGGACTTTCAGGAGGTCTGGCCTGATCCGTATACCGTTAGGGGACCAGTGAAATTGGATGTAGGGACAGCTAGTCAAGAAACGGGCAAGCCTCCTGGTCATCCAGCAGGCTACCTGACTGACCTGTTAAAGTTACCTAACATCAACTTGTGACAGACATTTGACTTCCCATTGTCCAGCAGACGTCACAATTCACCCAGTTCATGACTGCACCTTGATTCCTTTTCCACTGGCTTGGGAAGAGGCATCAGAGCGCTTGTATTGTATCGTGTCACCCTCCTTTCTATTCTAGGCTTTGCTCTCTTCACTCGTGTCATTTCCGGATCCCTTGTTAGAAGCCTTCGGCCATCACGCTGTTCGTTGCGACCTCCTCCTTGAGACTGCTGCATTTGCATCACCGACGAGCCGTTCTTTGCATCTTAGAGGATCATGGCATAAATCATATGGATTAGGACGGCCCGCCATTTCATCGACCATCGATTAGATTTACGAATTACTCCCTTCACATCCTCCCGCCACGATGCCGCGCGACCGCCCAGCGACGACGGGCTACGAGCGTCTGGCTCAGGCCGACCAGCTCAGCGACGACTCCGACGATGACTTCATGGTTCAGAGCTATGCCTCATTGCAGCCTGCCTCGGCCCCGCGCTTCGCCCCGATCTCCCAGCCGCGCCCACACTCGGGCATGACTTCGCCCAAAGCGACCTCATCCTCTCGGCCCGGCCGACGCCGACGCGTCCGCACTAATTCCGGCGTCGACCTCAAGGCTATCAACGCGCGGCTCGAGCGCTGGGCCGACGAGATTGCCGCCCGCTTCAAGAGGGGGAAGAAGAAGACCGGAGAGGAGGAGCGCCTTGAGATACACCACTCCGTCTTCCAGGCCCCCGAGGGCGTGCGCCCGGCCACGGCGGAGACGCTTGCCGCTCCCCAGCCGGGTGTGATGACTCGTGACGAGTTCGAGGCGATTGTTAATAGCGTACGGCTAGCCATCGAGCAGGGTGTGCATCCGAGGATGATCTCTCAGGGCAGCTCCGGGAGTTACTTTGCGCGGAATCCAGAGGGCAAGGTGGTCGGCGTCTTCAAGCCGAAGGACGAGGAGCCGTATGCGGCTGGAAATCCGAAATGGAACAAGTGGATTCACAGGAACTTGTTCCCATGTTGCTTCGGACGTGCTTGGTATGCATCATCTCGAGACTCCTCAGCATGGTATCTTGTTAACGCTACTAAACAGTCTTATCCCCAATCTCTCATATGTCAGCGAGGCGGCGGCGTACGTTCTCGACGTTCAGCTCCGCACCCACATGGTGCCATATACTGACGTCGTCTATCTGTCGTCCAAGTCATTTCATTATCCGTTCTGGGATCGCTATAACTATTCCAGAAACAGGAAACCGCTCCCCTCAAAGCCAGGCAGCTTTCAGGTATTTCTCAAAGGCTTTAAAGATGCAAATGTTTTCCTTCGGGAACACCCGTGGCCGGACCAGTACCTGTCTGGATTCCGGACGAATGAAACCCACCGCAAGAAGAAGAAGAGGTGGGCGGACAACTGTCGCCCGTCCAGTGCTCGTTCCCAAGATGATACAGGAAGCGATGATGGCTATGACACCCCAGAGACACGAGTGCCTAGCCCTGGTAATTTTGTCTGGACGGAAGGCCTGAAACAGTCGTTCAGGGAAGAGCTGGAGAAGCTCGTCATTTTGGATTATATCATGCGTAACACCGACCGAGGTCTTGATAACTGGATGATCAAAGTGGATTGGGAATCACAAGATGTTTCGATTGTGTCCGAGCCCGTTCAACTCAACACCAACACAGCAGACGAGCAAGAGGGACCGCGGCCGGTAGACCTGTCTCAAAGGAAGACAAATGACCGCGCAAGCTACCCGTACAGGAAGCAGAAGCCTATGGAGGCCGCGAGCCCCGGGGAAGGACCGCCTGATCCGAAAATGACCATCGGAGCTATCGACAACTCGCTGTCTTGGCCGTGGAAACATCCAGACGCCTGGCGCAGCTTTCCTTTCGGATGGCTTTTCCTACCTGTAGACCTCATCGGGCGGCCATTCTCGCAGAAAACGAGAGACCACTTCCTCCCATTGCTGACCTCCACGCAATGGTGGAGTCAGACCCAGCTGGCTCTACGAAGAATATTCCAATGTGATCCTGATTTCCAGGAGAAGATGTTTGCACGACAAATAGCCGTCATGAAAGGACAGGCCTGGAACGTGGTGGAGACGTTGAAGACGCCGGACCATGGCCCATTGGAGCTTACGCGTAGAGCCAAGGTATGTGTATGGGATGACCTCGTGGAGATACCGGTGGCTGTTCCCATGAGGGTCACATCAGCCGAGATGCGGCGACGGACCCAGGCGGACTTCCAGAAAGGCATTGAAGAGGAGATGGATATTGGAGCCGCGAATCCGTCCTCCGAGCCAGTCGACCTGCTCGGCCTGGCCAGTCCACCGGCCGATCTTCCTCATCCAGGGAGGTTTGAGATTGCTGGAGTTGGAGAGTCTCCAGGGGAGGAGATGGCATCTCCTGGGGAGGAAGCGGTGTCACCCCTCGATACGGCTGCGTCATCTCCCAGTAAGACAAGGGACCGGCCAAGGCTCCCACAAACATCTATCGGGGCTAGCTATTCTGGGGCACATCGGTCGCTCAATATGTACACGCCGCACCGTGAGCGGCGGTACTCATTCGCAACTGCGATTGGGCGACGAAACAGCAACTCCATAGCGCAGCATCTATACGGCAGCGGTCGGCAGAGCTGGGATGACGGGGATGATGTCGAGGGCGATCTCGGCTATGCGGCGGCGGAGGGCATGGAGGGGAACCAGCGCAAGGTTATCGTCGAGAGGCTGGAAGCGGTCAAGGCTAGAAACCCGGTGTTTACATGCTGGTAGTGGGTTTTCTTTTCTTTACTCGGTGTGCTGTATTATTGTTTTTTCTGTGCCATATTTGGGATAGGTTAGACACAGGTCGCACTGCATTGGGCTGCGTTACAGAAACGGCAATGATGAAAAAAGAGACTAGAGGCTATCCAGACAAATACACCACATCACACACTTCAAGATGGGGCGGGTACGGTTTCCATTGGTTTCCATCTGTGCTTCTGGGATGGGGAAATGCAAGCACGCTGCTCCTTGGATGATTCTCCTTGCATTGCATTTGTGTATCTCTCGTCTCCGTCAACTCCGGTATCGAATCACGGCCAGGTGAGGTGGCTGGGAGGAGAGAGGCCTCACAGGAGACCTGGCAGGTCGTGGCCGGCTTGCTGAGTGACAAATTTCGGTGAAGAGCCAAAGTGATATGTCAGGTTGTACAGTCGAAAATGAGGCTTACACAGACCTTCACCCTCCAGTAACAGTGGTTAGACAAAGGCAAGCATGCAAACTCGGCCGAAGGGGGCTTTTTTGGCTTCCAGGGGCTGTGAAGGTAGAGGTGAACTCGGTCCGCGGTGGATTATTCGGCGAGCTGGGACGGGCAATGCTATCATCACATATCACAACAAATTATTATATGATGGAGGTGTGTGACATAATTTAACTATCATGCATGTCGTCAGGCAAATCCTTCTGGACAGTTTCCTCCGCCTTGTTGTATCTCCATAATTGCCTTTTTCCTGTGCGGTCCTGCGACAGGAGGGTTAGGGGTGTCGCAAATTTGGAGCAATGAGAGCCTCTGCTTTTCAGAAGAGACCTGAGGTAAGGTCGTGTTTCGCCTCGGACCCGGCGCTCTGGGAAAGGAGCAAGGAGACCCTGTCAGCACGGTCAAAAGTTAAAATGACGCGAAAAAGGGCAGAGAGGACCCAGAAGGTTGGGCGGCCGTTGCGTTTCATTTTCAGCCAATGTCGAGTCGCTGACGTGCGCCCGTCTGCTCGGGAATCTCTCCCCATGCGGTTTCGCTTCAACTAGCCATCTGCAGATTTCGGAAACGACAGCTGTGCCCGGTTTTATCGGAATGCAGAAACCGTAGCTGCTGATCTCTAGCAGCCAGCAGCTTGGGGTGCCTCGTATTTGCTTGGGCTCTGAGTTGTCGGTATCTGCGGGAGACCAGACCAGCTGGGGCGATATCAAACTAATTAGTCGTCTGCCGCTATCAAGACTGGCAATCAATCCATAGTCTCTAACTAAGCCACGATGGGACGGCCCAACTCGCAAAGAGTTCCCAAACCTGTCCAACAGACAGACAGACAGGGCATTCCTTGAGGGGTTAGACACCATTACCGTCCGCGCGGGTCGTCGTCGTAAGAGTATTCGAGTATTCCGTGACTAGAGCGGTAGACAAGCGTGGACAACCTGGCAACTGCAGATCTCCCTGTGGCTAGTGGCTCTCAGTAACCAGCTCCTCGGGATGGCCGTCTGAGGGAGCAGAGGGAAAATTAGAGGGATAATCCTCATCACCGCTCAGTCTCATTACCGGTGGTCTGGGAAGCTTAAAGCGCCTCTTCAGGGATTGCCTGTCTAAAGCCCGTCATCTCGGCTGCCAGCGCGTCATTTCCCTTAGACTCGTGCCGGAATTGTACTATGCTGTAAGGGAGCGAGTTGGACCCGGAGATAAATGACTCAGTTAAGTAACGCCAGCCGTCGTCTCTGTACCCAGAACGGTCTTTTCCGCTGCAGCGGCCCGCACAGGCGTTGATCAAAGTCGATCTTATCGTTCATGTCTCGGCAAGTCATTACGCGATCCCAAGGGTTCAGACTCCGCTTCCTTCTCGCTAAAGCCTCTCCTCCTCCTCCTCCTCTTCCGCGTTGTGCTGCAAGTGATTTCAGGACGGAGAGAGAATTTCTAGGGGTCAGGTGTATGTATTCAGCTGAACCATGACCCTTAGGGAATGCTCAGAGCTTAGAACAGGGATGTCGGCGAATAGACCGAGTGAGGTAGATGCATATGGGCTATACTGTAGTCATCATGAACGTACACCACTAGACTATTGGGCGCCCAGCACACTGAGGCTACCCGCACGGGTCGGAGACTTACCCCTACCTATAGTTCGGACCCGTTTCTGTTCTGGCTCAGGCATGAAGCCTACGTACTGCATAGTATGTGGCACTGTTATTAAGGGTTTAGAATCCTCAAATTCCACGATTTTATTTTTCATGATCGTCATATGCAACAGCACACCCACCCATGCTAGAAACGTGTCCGTGGGAGGGTCAGTGGCTTGCAAACAGACACCTCACCTGAAGGACATGCCTTTGTGTGTGCCTCATTCCGTCCGTCCATTGTTCCACCATCATGTTGGGACACCCTCCAATTCCCTTAGCCTGGGTGCCAGCATGCAGACGAGGCCTAACGGGGGTAGTGATATGAGGTCAGAGTGGTCAGCCATGCAGCAGTGGCAAGCCGGGATGGTTGGTTTAATTTTTGAAACGGCAGTCTTGTAGCGGAGAATTTCGCCTTCCATCGTCCTTCTCTGAGCCTTCTAAAACGGTTAAACTAGTTTCAGAGCGGCAGCATCCTGGCGGGACCGGCGCGTCCTGCCCTTCGACGAAATCCCAAGTCCATGTCACCGGGTTCCTCTCTTCTGTCTCTGCCATGTATAATCACCCAGTGCTTGCTTCCCTCAGGTACATGCTCTGATCGACGCCAAAAGCAAATAACGTTCCTTGCTAGTCTGGAGCGCTTCATCACCGTTCAGGCCCGCTTTGCACATTTGGAGGCGCTGTTGGCTCATTGACCCGGTTTTCTGGGCCGTCAAATCTTGTCTTGGTCCTTGAAAATACCAGGGAAACGGCACCATATCGTGTGCACTTAGCAGGCTTATTATCATAGTAGAAAGACACCGAGCTATGTCTCCGCTACCCGCGGCTTTGGTCCAGCTGGAATTACTGTCTGAGTCCTGGACGAAAACGAGGACCCGCTGAGTACCCAGCGAGGAGGGTGGCTAATATGGGGGGTGTATCAGGCTAACAGCATCCTGGGGCTGCAGTCATGGTCAAGAGACACGTCGACCAGCACTCCTAGCCAGAACTGCTCCAATCAGAAAGACATGAACAGCCCGGAGCGAAGCTAGAATGGGTTAAAACAAAGACGGCCCATCTTTGCAAAGTTTGAGTGGTCTGCCATTGGTTCTGCGTCGTTTTGAATAAGTGCCCTGTGAGGTCAGAGGGATGTAGGCCTTGGGCAGCAATCTCTATAGGCCAGCCTCCGGGACTGCGGAAATCAGTTGTGTTCATGACGGACGCGGTATCCTGACCATATGCTGACGGCCAAGTACCGTGTCTGAATTCTCTCTTGCTCTCGCACAGTGGCTTATGTGGCTATGAGGCCACCATAGTACTTTGATCTGTTATCCGAGCTGCCGGGTTTCTTGCAGACTCTAGCAAGGGGGAACTAGCCTGACTGGAAATCCCCAATGTGTGTAAGAAGTGCCAGCCAGCCCATGATCGACAACAGCATCGTGGGGTGCGAATTCTCCAGCCGGCCAATCTGAATTATCTGACAAGGTCCAAGGGTCCACTAATTCCATAACTGGGCTTTTACCACAGCACACTTGAGAAGGCGTACCAGACGAGCCTGCGGCTTCGGGCTGCCGCTCATGGCCCGATAGTTTGTTCACTGAAGAGTAACTTGAGGCGCAAGGGGCAACGATAACTCGCGCTCGCGCCCGAGGGTGCTACTTGGCGCCTGTCGAGAACATCGCGAGTTATATCATACCGGCCTGAAACCCAAAGCGACACCCAACTTGGCGCACCATCTTTTGGAGTTTTGCAACAAACTTCCACATACCCCTATCTTCAAGTCTGTTTACTGGAAACTCCAGAAGGAAACCTCCATGGAAAAGTAAGGAGCCCCTGTTGGTTGTACAGAAGGGAGATCACTAAGCAGATTCTCGCCCCGTAGCGACCCGGGAACCGTCCCTCTCGACGACACTTATTACGAGACCGTCACGCACCACGACAGAGAGTACCAAAGGTATGCCGTCGATAATGGGGCCTATTTTGCTCCTGTTGATGAGGTATGTTTCAACGCCTTAGGAAAGCGTCGAGATTGTTGTAAAACATCTCAACTTTGATTAACCCCTGAATAGGACGAAGCAGAGCGACTGCAAATCCAGCACGGGGTCTTCCAACGACTTTTTGACGGCCGACTCATCTTTCCACCTATACAGTCTCCCAGGAGAATTCTCGATTGCGGATTTGGCAATGCTTCTTGGGCCACCGATGTTGCGGATCGGTATCCAAATTGCGAGGTAAGAAATTACCGCTTCCCGCTCCCGATCAGCGAATCGACTTGATTCTCGAGCTCGAAAGAAGACTCGGTGTCTTCGTGACAGACTAATCGTTGCTCTTCTTGGAATCCCAAGTTGAGTTTCTGTCCTTGACGCCTACTAGCCAAAAGCCAGGAAAGTCAGGGGTTCATAACCTCTCAAGTGGGAACTGCCGACAATTTGTTGAGGCTTCCATAAGACTTCATGGAGTTTTCCTCTGAAAATAATTTCTCCAAGTGTCATCACTAACATTGGAGCAATAGGTCACTGGAATAGATATCAGCCCGCATATGATCCCGCTAGAACAGCCCCCGAATCTCGAACTTCAAGTAGATGACTTGAACCAGCGGTACCATCTTTCGAACGGTTCTTTAGCGTATCTAGCCTAACACCGTTTTAGGTTTTCTTTTCCTTCGAATTATTTCGATCTTGTGCATAGCCAGCTTATGGTGGGAGGAATCCATGCGAATCGGTGGCGGAGTTACTTGAGGGATATATTCCGAGTTCTGAGAGCGGGAGGCTGGTGCCAGATGGTCGAGGTATACTTCAACGCCCAGTCAGACAATGGAACTTTGACCAGTGGTATGTCAATGACATGACCCCAAGCTGCCAAAGAAGCATAATAACGAAAGTGACGACAGATAATGCGCTCCGAAGATGGTCTCAGGCGTATCTGCAAAGCCTCCAGCCCTTCAAAGACCCAAGGGCGCCGTTACAGTTGGAAAATCTAATGAGACACGCTGGTTTCGTCGACGTCGAGTCCAGATTGCTACCGCTACACTTGTGCGGCTGGTCTACTAGTATGTGTATACCGAAGTCTTAGCCATGAGTCCTAGCCAATGTCTGACTATTGTGGGAAATAGACACTCGAGAACATAACATCGGAACGGCGAACCAGGAGAATGTCCATCGGTTATTGGCCTCGCTAGCCACGTATCCCTTCACGGAGCTACTGGGGTAAGCTAGGCACGGGAATCGCCTGCAGCGAGATATAACTGACAAGATATCGTTGCTCAGTATGCCCATTGCAGACGTGCAACTGTTAGTAGCACAAGCCCGTGCTGAGGCTGATAATCCTGCATTCAAGGTAAGAACTCCTATTGGGTCTCCGACGAAGTGAGGACCTCCTTTCTATTCGCTGCGCGGTCCGAATATGCTGGCATTGGCTGATTGTCCGGGTGTATCCGCAGGCTTATTTTCCTGTGTAAGTGCTAAGGGCCCGGTTTTGTATATGTATACACATATCCTAAGTGCACGTGCGCTATAGGCCTCTGTATGCGTGAGCTAACAAGTGTGATGTCTATAGTTATGTTTGCATTGGTCGGAAACGACGCTGAATAGGCCTTGAGACCGTGGTATCTCTTGGAAGGCGATAGCCCAATAGAGGCGGCCATGCGAGCTAGGTCCGACTCTTCCGTCGCATCGGGGAGAGTTCATATAAAGGGTGCCTTTCTTGCATGGCGTGGCGTTGTTTGCGATTGCATTTGGCATGATTTCATGAATTATGATGACGATGACGACGTCGATGATCAAGACGAGCGGCGGGTATGGGGCCATGTTGTGTGTGTGTGTGTTTATTTGAAAGGGTGACAACGTCCTTGCAGCAAGAACGTGGTCGTTCCTTACCTGTCTGGACTGCGTTCAATCCGCTCATTCGACCTACCTACATACCACCGCTCCTTCCAGTCAATCATTTAGACCATGAATAAAAAACATTGTCTCCTTCCTCTTCTCATTTCTTCCATCTTCCTCGGAAGGCATGCTCTGTCAATACTCGGATTTCCCCTCGCCATTTTGCCATTTCGATTTAGACTGAGCATCGAGGACTGAAAAGGGTCAAATGCGGCCTCTTGTGTCGGCGATGCCAAGTAGACCGGAGCGTGGGTCGAAGAAAACCGTCGTAATCGAGAAGAGTTCACAGGCCACAGAGACACGACGGAAAGAAAGGGGCGATTTGAAAGAGAGGGTGGGCCAGGGGGCCATTTGAGGGCTGCCCGCGTTGGCTATGAGCGAGAGAGTGAGCGAGCGACCACCTGCAAGCCCGCGAGACGACGAATCTAAGGGAGCTTTCAACCATCCTTCCGCTTTGGGGGTGAGACAAGTGGCCCCAGAAACGACGCCCGAGGGGCTAAACAAATTGCCTGTCCAAACACACGCGGACACGCCTCGCCCGGACGCAGAGCCAGCGGGGGAAGGGGGGCCGGGCAGCTCTTTATATGGCTCGCTAGAAATGAGTGTGAAGCAAATTCATTCTCGGTTCCAAACCACCGGGTCCGATAATCACGGCCCCGTGTTCCGGATGTATCAAGATGGACCAAGATGCGACTCCTGTCACATTCAATCACACCGGCCTACCCTGCCTGTTCCCACATTTGTGCCCAACATGTCGACCTAACTGCGACGGGTATCTCGAGCTGCGGTCTCTACGGCAAGGTATATAAGGCATGCCCGCCCGGTACTTGGTGCACTAGGTGTAACACAGCAAAGACTATCAAGGACTACCTATGCACACCCAAGAACTGGGCGGGTAATGAGAGACTAAGGTAATGAACGATTCTCCACTCCGCCGACGATGCCCTTGAACCTCGTCCTGCATCGCACGCCTGTCAGTGCCCCGGTCCTGGTCTGGCAGCGACGCCAATCGCTCGCCTGCATGGACGGCTTCAGAGCCTCAACCAACGGCTCATACATGCGCATTGAATACACATGAGCCTACTTTCTTGTATCACTAAGATACGTTGCTGTTCCGTTCCGAACTGATCCTTCTCCGGTGACCCGACCGAGGAACCCGAGTCTCACGATGATAAGTGGGAAATCGACGCGCAGACAACAGCGCAAAGACCCTCCGTTGGGCAGTTCGAGGTCAAGCCCATGGTCCATGATCCTGGCCCAAGTTGTCTTACAAGCCCTGGCTGGGGCCAGCTAGCGCACCGCGGGTTTGTTTCCAGAGACCCGAACCCATGCAAGCGGGCTCAAAATTTCCCAGCCCAATTTTAAGTTGCGTGGTCCATTCCGTCAGGTGACCTTCTCGAATCCTGCACGAAGCAACCCAGCAGCTGACAAAGCCTGAAGGAGTGAATGCTCTCTACCATCACTTTGTTGGCCTTTATGGAAATCGCTATACAGCTTTGAAGTACTGTTCTATATAGGGAATTGCTATCAGAGGTCTGGATCGAGAAAACGAAGCGCATCCGAGCCTAGAGTCTGAGTCTAGAGCCTGGAAGCTGCAGTCTGCTGCAAGAACAACTGTACTGCAGGTGGTGCTTCCTGGCTGCGGGCCAAGGCCATTCAAGCTTAGTGCTCTTCATAAGGTGGGAATCCCCCACGCCTTAGCACCCGTTTCAGTCGACTTGACCTGTCTGCCGCTGGGCCTGTATGTTTTAGTGGCCAATTGGAATTCTTCCCACCCGTTTGCTATCACAACGTTTTTCTTGCAATAGAGTGCTTTCATTTTTCCCAGCTTAAATGTGTCTCCTCCTCTCCTACAGTCCGGTCATCACCAGCATCTAGCGCACTGCAACTACGCGCGCAGACCTGTACAAGCCTTGACGAACAGTTGTCTGTAATTGATCTATTTCTGCAGAACTAATTGAGCCATTAGAGTTGGTCTGGCCTGCCATTTAGGCACACCATCCCGCAACGCGAAAAGGACTCAGTCGATACCCGTCAACATGGGCAGCCGACTACTGCCCTACTCCATTCGTGCTCTAGAGCGGCTTCCCACTCGGGCGGCTTCATCAAGACAAGTCCCCAGCCCTAGGGTGTCATGTCAGGCTCGCCTTTACTCGAGCGAGACGCCCCAATCACCGCCCCTTTTGTCCAAGATCAAGGGTGATCTCAAGGCTGCCATGAGAGCGAAAGACCAAGCACGCCTAACTGTCCTCCGCTCCATTATATCCGCGACCAACAATGCCGCCAAGACATCGTCGCCCATCAAGACCGACGTTCAGCTCGTAGCCCTCCTGCGCAAGACGGCTCGGGCATTTCAGGACGCGGCTGGGGAGTTCCGCGATGCAGGACGACAAGACCTGGTCGAAAAGGAAGAGGCTCAGGTCCGGATCCTCGAGGAATACGCGGCCGAAAGCGGCGTCGAGAGCCTAGGAGAGGTGGAGCTCAAGGCTATTATACAAAACGTCATAACAGAGATTGCGGCAGAGAGCCTGGACAAGACAAAACAGTCAGGCGAGGTCATGAAGAGACTCATGGCTAAGGGTGGGCCGTTAGATGGAAAGGACGTGGACAGGGCAGCGGTGTCGAAATTGGTGAAAGAGGCAGCCTCGTAAAGCATTGTAGAACGAGGACGCCCACGAGCGATTGCCGGAGCATAATGTACACGCCAGGTGCCACGTACCGGTCGGTCTACGTAGGCTGACACCGGTCGACATTACTCGATGTGAAACCCGAGTTGTATATAACATTGCATGGTGACAGAGCGCCGTGCAATTTTGTAAGCTGAACTTGTATATCTAAGGCTGTGTACAGTATGTACGAGTAGTTCACAAAAAGAGCAATACCCCTCCTCCAAGCTTGTAGCAAAGATGTGCTTACCATGCCGATGTTACCAGTCTCTGTTGTGATCTAAACACACGAGTATTCAGATTCGATAGCCGCACCCTTCATGTATGACCTCCCCACGTTCCCGAGCACGAGGACTCAGCTAGGCACTCCACGCTTCCTCGGCTTGACGTGTGCTTCGTCCTCCCCGCATTATAAATTAGCTGCTACACAAGTAGCTGAGAATACCACATGGCAATCATTGTGGCATGACATGCACGATAAATCGGACGATCTGGAGTTTGTTTCGGATGGTAGTTCTCAATTCCATATGATGGCAGAACTAGATAGCACCATCTTGTCGAAAATTCACAGGCAGGGTTCGGATCAAGAAAACCCGCTGGAATTACAGTGTCCCCTGAGCTACCAAAGCTCGCGAATTACTCTGTAATGCGATCGCCTGTCTTGGCTGTGAACCCGAGTTTCAGGAAACAACTAACGCACTATATCAATTTATAGTTCAGCTTCGATTGGGTCAGTGGATTTAGGTCTATCTTCTTGCCCAATCAACCCTGTCAAATTTTCCTAGCTAGGATGGAGGTCACGCTGCCGTTTCAATTCGATGCTTTCCGTCATGATCTACCGCTGATGCTCGGCTACGGATTGTTCCCCGGATTGCATTGAATGGCTCCAGCCGTCTGAAGCATGCTCGCTAGACTGACCCCAGTAAGCCATCGATGATCCTCTTCTTACGCCGAAACATCTGGTTCTCTTTCACTTATATTAGCACCCAAGGCCACCCCTCATTTGCCTTGCTTGCCTACCCAACATCTTCCTAGAGGCATAAGCTTGGCCTTTTATTTGTGTCACCTCGGTACCTACCTGCCTTAGGTAGTCATCCCGCCTATATTGTTCTGATAGGCCAGAACCTGAATCAGCTCTCCCTTTGAGAGCCTTACCCCTCGAACGACCACCTATCCTCACGTCCGCCAAATCAAGTCCGGTATAATATGAAGTACAACTTCCAAAACAACCTCTGAACCCAACTCAAAAAGAGACTGCCTTGTTACCATGGAGCTTCCTCTGTTGCCTAGGAAGACAGAGCCACAGGTCCACTCGGACGAAGTCACGACCAAGGTCCTGTCAGCGCTCTCCTCTCCGGAGCCAGAGGTCCAGAGAGGACGCAAGCGGCGCCGCGACCCCCTCCCCTTCACTCTCATCACGACATCGCAAACACCTTCGGGCGAGACGTTTCGAGGCCGCTGCCGACAGCGGTCCACGTCGTTGGTGAACCTCTCGTCCCGCAACACCTCGCGCAACTTCCGGGACGCTTCGTACTCGCCGTCCAGGAAGCGCTTCTTCCGCGTAGCCAACCTCGAGCGCCGCGGCGGCCGGCGACGCAGTCAGAGTCCCTCCCGCTCCCGCTCGCCCGACGACAGGGAGGGGGTCAAGCGCAGGCGGCAAAGGACGACGAGCCATAGCCGGGACCACCAGGGCGTGGTGTCGTTTGCTCTGGTGGAGCAAGCGCAGCAGTCACCGTTACGTCTCGAGTTCACGACCGTGCCCGAGGTCTCTAGAGACAAGGAGCAAGAAGGATGAGATTCCTAGCCTTGGAGACAGGAAAAGGAAAACGGAGCCATGGGTCGGATGGAAGGAATTCTGCCGGCCGGATTAGAAGAAGCCACTGTTGGATAACAACGACTCTTCACACAGTACGAGAGTCGACAAGAGTTGGTAGTCAATGGCATGCGGGAAAAGTCCAAGGCCCGGATGAGCGGCCAAGATACGCACAAAACGGTTTATTTTACATTCGACATACGAAGCTACACGTGAGGCCAGCTGAGCTGCCTTGCGGTGACAGCTGCTCCTCAGCTTTCAATGTGTGAGAAAAGCGGGCTTCAGGGACGGGGACAAGGTCGTTCTGGCGTTGTGACGATTGATACCAATATGAATAGCTTAGTATGGATTTTCAAGGCTGGAGTCAAATGAAATTCAAACTGTTTGTCGGATTCAAAGTCTGAAGGTCCTAGTATGGCCAGTGTGTTTCCTAGATATCTAGGGTTCACCCAAGACGCCTACATTGATGCTTGCTTCAGTGGGGACGCCGTGGTGGTGTTATGTAACAGCCGCTAGCCCAGTCCCCTTGCCCACATCAGTCAGAAAGCTGGTTATACGCCTCGTGTTACATATACCTATACCTACAATATATGCAATATTGTCAACAGATTACCCAACTGTCCGAAGAGACATACTGAAAAGACGAGTAAAGCGTAATCATGTATAGAGTGCCTTGGTATCATATAGGACATGTCTTACAAGTCCAGGGCTTTTTGAGTTTTTGGAGGCGCAATACCGACTGCCGCATCTGCAGTTGGGGGGCCATGTGACAGGGAGGGCCACGTGAGGCGCACAGTTTTAGCAGCTAAGCAGCTACTAAAAGTTAAGATGGATGCTGATGGAGCTCCTCTCAGCGATTCCGAGAGTAAGTGGGGTAAAGCCTCATTCTGGAGGGGGATGGAAGTACTGCAGCGAAGGGTAGCTACTTGAGAGATCAACGAATGAATCAATATACGATGGAAGTCAAGCTTGAGCTTGAGCTTGAGCTTGAAGCTTGAGCTTGAGGTTCAGGTTCAGGTTGGTGGTCTAGGCGTCCAACTTGCATGGACAAGAAAAGGGCAGATCTTGCTTGCATCATGTGAGCTGCAGCGGCGCCTGTCATATCACACCCACCTGCACCCACCTGCACCCGCGAGAGCCCTAGGTATAGTAGGCTACTTATCCGGCTTATTAGCGCCTATCGCAAGAGCCTGCCGATAACTAAAAACTAATCTGCAACCTTGAAGTCAAGGTGCCGCACCATCCAGGCTCACCTCCATCGATCGTTATCGATCGGCCCTCCAACAATTAAATCCGTTGCCCGACGCGGCAGTCGTCTTCTTTTGCTGACTTTTCCTCCTCCTCGACACGACCCAGCGACGCTTCTTCCGCTGTCCACTGCTTGCGCGCGCGCATATCACTCACTTTGGCCTCTCGCAACGGGCAACAGCAGAGACGCACTGAACGGACTCGAGCCTTCTTCGGAGGAGATCTTTGATGCCTGCCCTCGCCCCACCTTCTTCTTCGATCCCGAACATCCCACCTCCTCTCTCGTCCTCGGCCTTTGTCATGAAGGTATCTCGATCCTCCTGACAATCTCGACCTGCGTGTTGCCGCTGAGACTCGGCGCACCATTCGAGGGCAGTGTCAGAATGGCCTCGACTAATCAACCAAATGGTATTTCACCACCCCGCCACCGCTCTCTCACCCCTCTATACCTCTCATCCTCCTCCCCGTCTCCCACGGGCTTCAAGCGCGCCAGAAGGGCGGGCTCTCCCTCTCGTTATATCTCCTTGAGCTTGCAGCCAGATCTGTCTCACCATGATACTCACACCTCTACTCATCAAGGACGACATCCCTTTGCACGATCAGCAGCTCCGGCTGCCAATGGTGGCGTTCCGTCATGGAATGCTGCTGCTCTTCTAAACCCCAAGGCTCATACCACCACCACCCCTGTCAGATCTCAAGATCCGCAGCGATCTCCCGCACAAAACGCCAACACGGCGAACCACATGGTCTTCCAGTTCTCCAGCACTAATGGCACGCCGAATAGCGGCTATCAGAGCCCCGCTACTCCAACCCCTGAGGATGTGAACGGCAACTCACAGGATGCGCCCGCTGCGGGTATGAGCCGCATGATAGAGCGTATGAATAACGTACAGGATCGGAGTTCTTTCCCTCTTCCTAAGCGACGCAAGATTGGCGAGGATGGGGACGGCTCCTCCACACCCGGCAGTTTTCGAAGTGGCGGGAATGGCATGCTCGGAGAATATGTGCGGCAGCAACGCGATCAGACGCAATCTGTGCCAACTCTCAAGTCGGCCCCATCCGTAGATCTAACCGGGGGTAAGTCTGAGCGCAAAGGATATCATATTATGCAACTTCACTTGCTGACATAGGAATCAGCCGATGATGGTGAAGACGACGACGTTGTCGTCCTTGATAAGTCGATGGAAGAAGTTTGCTACGGCATGATCGAAGGTTCTACCGTCAACTGCCATCAGGTTCCTGCACCAAAGCCTGGTATGAAATCTCTTGGCGGACCTAGTTGGTGGCCACAGGTGAAAGTGGTCCTTCGGAGGAAAACAGGAGACCCGACCACAACGATTCAGGTATACGATCATACACGTTCTATCTTCGGTCACGTCGACGCAGCCACATCTTCCGGTATAGCCCAGCTCCTGGACTCACGTCAGATTGGCCTTCGTACGGATTGCATCATTCCGACGCGTCGTCGGTTTCCTGACGAGGAGATTGGCAAGCCGATCTCGCGTGCGTATAAGGTACAATTGATGCTTTACGGAAAATACAAATTCGCAAGAACAGTAGGGAAATACTTGGCAAACGCCGGTCTGAACCTCCTTAGCCCGCCAAGGGTTGAGAAGGGCATTAGTGTTTTCAATCCGCTGGCCAAGGAGAATAGAGTGCCCTCCTCTATGAAGCAAACGAATGGCAACGGTTCAAGCGGTGGTCCATCATTTGAGCCGTCTTCATCTACGACGATTAGAACCGTTGAGGAAATACGGTCAGATGTGCTCAATGTCTTTGATTCGCTTACTCAATCTGAACACCTACCTGAAGCCGAGGCAGATCCTCGAATCTTGACGGAGCTTCTCAAGCATCAGAAGCAAGCCTTGTTCTTCATGACGAATCGAGAAGACCCCAACGCTTCTGCATCAAGTTCTCCTGATACACCTGATCCTTTGTGGCAGCGCAAACAAGGAAAGAATGGCGAGATGTTCTTTCAGAACGTCATCACAGGCCATAGGGCTCGGCAACCGCCACCGAAGATGTTAGGTGGCCTTCTGGCCGACATGATGGGCTTAGGAAAGACTTTGAGTGTCCTATCTCTGATTACCTCGACTATGTCTACCGCCGTAGACTGGGAGCAACAGGAGCCCATTCAGCCTCAAGTGCCTGTGAAGAAGCCCTCCGCATCAAATCGATTCGTTCCACCGGTCGCAGAATCCCTTGGGTTAACGCGGCTCCACAGGAATGGCAAAGCTACATTGCTTGTCTGTCCCCTGAGTACGGTGACGAACTGGGAGGAGCAGATCAAACAACACATCCAACCCGGCACCTTGAAGTATCATATTTATCACGGTCCGAATCGAATCAGGGACTCTGCGAAGTTGGCGGACTTTGATCTCGTCGTGACAACCTATGGATCTGTATCAAGTGAGCTCAATGCCCGCTCTAAGGGAAAGGCAGGCTCGCATCCATTGGAAGAGATATCTTGGTTTCGCATTGTGCTCGATGAGGCACATATGATTCGAGAACAGTCGACATTGCAGTTCAAATCCATATGTCGCCTACAAGCAAGCCGCCGATGGGCAGTTACAGGTACTCCCGTTCAGAACAAGTTGGAGGATCTCGCAGCACTCCTTGCATTTCTACGCGTCAAACCCTTTGACGATCGCAGTTTCTTCACGACGCACATTGTGCAAGCTTTCAAGTCGTGCGACCCTGAGATTGTACCAAAGCTGCGTATTCTTGTGGACACTATCACTCTGCGGCGTCTCAAGAACAAGATTAATTTGCCCGAACGAAAGGATGTTATCGTTAAGCTCAAGTTTTCTGACGAGGAACAGCGTCTCTATGATCTCTTCGCCAAATACGCGCAGGAGAGAGTTGCCGTTCTCACAAATCGTCGGGAGCGTATGGTTGGCGGTAAGACCTACATCCATATTCTCCAGGCAATCTTGCGTCTACGCCTCATCTGTGCTCATGGCAAGGAGCTCCTGAACGAGGACGATCTCCAAGTTTTGCAGGGCATGACTCAAGAGTCAGCAATTGATCTCGACAGCGACGAAGATGATGGAAAGCCTGCATTGCCTGAAAAGAAGGCATACGACATGTTCGATCTCATGAAGGAGACGAATGCCGATGTTTGCATAGAGTGCACTCGCAAGCTGGGCTCTAACGATGGCGCGGATATCGAGTCGGAGCGTCAGGAGGATGTGCTAGGTTATATGACACCTTGTTTCCATCTGTTCTGCCCGAATCACATTCGCTCATTCCGCGATGAGACCACCGGGGCCACCTATAACAGCAAGTCATATGGTCACTGCCCTTTCTGTCAAGAGCAGGTTAAGTTTGCTTGCGTGGAGCTCCGATCGACCCGTGCAGCCGAAGAACATGACTTGCACACCAAAGCGAAGACGACTAAGACGGGGACTAAGTCCATCGACAACTATGGCGGCCCACATACGAAAACGAAAGAGCTTGTTCAGGCACTTCTGAAGAACAAGGCCGATAGTGAAGAAAATCCTGAATTACCTCCCTTCAAATCAGTAGTATTCTCAGGTTGGACGTCTCATTTGGACCTGATCCAAGTCGCCCTCGATTCTGCGGGAATTATTTACACTCGGCTCGATGGAAAGATGTCACGAAATGCCCGTACGCAGGCTATGGATAATTTCCGCGAGAACCCCTCAGTCCAGGTCATTTTGGTCTCAATCACAGCGGGTGGGTTGGGCCTGAATCTCACAACCGCCAATTCAGTTTACGTCATGGAACCCCAATACAACCCGGCAGCCGAGGCGCAGGCTATTGATCGTGTCCACCGTCTAGGCCAGAAGCGCCCGGTCACCACAGTTCGCTATATCATGCAGGACAGCTTCGAGGAGAAGATGCTCGAGCTGCAAGACAAGAAGATCAAGTTGGCGTCCCTCAGTATGGACGGCAATCGTGAAGGGCGGGAGACCATGACACGAGTTGACGCTGCCAAGCAGCGACTCATGGACTTGCGTAGTCTATTCAAATAAATAAACTAGGGCTCGAATACACATGCTCAACGGATTACTTTGCTATTTTCGGGCGTTTCTACGGAGGACAACCCCATCACGAGCCACGGTCTAGGACAGGAGGCTATGTTGCTTTGCATTTACCCTGGCGTCTCGACGGACAGCATCCCAGGTGGCGTTTCCAGATAGCGCCGAGGAACCACATTGCTTACTGGATTATCTTTCACGATTTCAAAGCCGGCCAGGTGGACAGAGAGCCTGCTCGAGGTAATCTGACCTGACTCTGCTATGCTGCAGCTCTAGCTAGAGCTGCACTGTGTGAGTATGGAGGGCCGTACTACTCGGCCGGTACACGAAGCGAAGCATTATTATGAATGGATGCGCGATGGTCTCAGACACACCGCCAGGGGAAAGGCTGCATTGATGTTTTGGTTGGGGAGCTGGCTTTTGTTACGATTACGTCTAGGCGTAGACTAGGTTCAGGAGGCTAGATCTCCGCCATCAACCAGGTACTTAGCTCATAGAGAGGGCGGCACAGGCAGTCAATGCATGATAGATGATACCCTTCGTAACTAACATCCATATGACTTCAAATGTTTCGTGATGACATGCGGTCCAATCTTCAAACTTCGACTGATTTCATTCTCGAGGCTAACGAGCACCATCACATGAGCGAAGCAACCAAGTGTAGCGAAAGGTATCATTCAAGGTTCATTCTCATTATCTACTCAGCCCGTAAGCTATCTACTGAAGCGAACAACTCCTCCCAGCTGTTGGCATTTTGGTTTGTGTGGTGTTCATCCCATTCTTCAAAATGGCCGAGCAATCAATCATTGATATACCCTCAAGACTCCACCCCTCCCTTTAAAAAGGAACCAGGTCCACGTAACGCCAGTGTATGAAATGAGTGAAACAAAAAGTCGTGGCGTGTTGACCAAGAAGATTTCCGGAGCTGTAAAAAGCCCACCTTCATTTGAGATAGTTGCTGGCTCGTCGAGTTGCACACCGAGAGTTGAGACAACTCGAGACCCCGCTGAGTCAGCTTTACATGGGCTGCTGTGGTTGGCTGTTCAGACTCCGAAGTAGAAGGATAAGTCTGATAACATTCTGCCATCAGCACTAGTGCGCGGCTCCCACTGCATGCTGCATGAAAGCAACGCCAGTCCATCTGGGAAAGTACTCCGTTCGTCAACGTTCATTAGGCGGTAAGCTTAAGCAGCGTCCGCGCTCGCAACCGGTTGCGAGATCCTGGTAACCTGCGAGCCGGCGCGGACGATGCGCTGGCCAGTCGAGTCATTGACGTAGGAGACATCCTTATTCTCGAACTGGGCGCGCTTCCAGATCTCAACCTCGCATCCACCACGGAGGACGCCAACACGCATCGTGCTTAGCAAGTTGTGGGCGGCGTTGGAGTGGTTGTAGACACCACCGTTGAAGATGGCAGTGGCGTCCTTGCCAATGGCGGAGGTGATCAGGGCCTTGCCACCGGGATGGTCCTTGATGAAGTCGGTCACATCGTGAATGACACCAGCAACGGCAATGAGAGCCTTGCCGCCCTTGGCCTGCTCAACGAAGTCATCCCAGCCAACAACGGGAAGCTGCTCCAGGGGAATACCCCAGTCCAGCTTAGCACGCTTCTGGTCGAGCTTCTTCTGCAGCTGTTGGACGCGGCCCTTCTCAATCTCGTTTTGTCGGAACTGCTTGAGGTCATAGGCGAGGCCAAGTTGCTTCCAGGTCCAGATGCACCACTTGGTAGGATCATACTGCCACCACTCGATACCATTTCGATAGTCGGAGGGAAACTCGTGGTGGAAGTTGTGGTAGCCTTCTCCCAGAGTGACGAGAGCAGTGATGACGTGGTCACGCGGGCTGTTGCGGTCGTCGAAAGGCTGGTCTCCGAGCCAGTGGGCCAGAGAGTTGACGCAGAAGGTAGCCTGCTGGACGAAGAAGATACGGAGGATTCCACCGTAGATGAAACCACCCATCCAGTCATTCCAGAGCAGTCCGCAGACAACAGTGGGGAAGATCAGGGCCATCGTCAAGACGGTCTTGATGTAGTGCTTGTGCTGCCAGACGACAACGGAGTCATCATTGAGATCGGTGATATCAGTGCGGCCAACTCGCTTGGGGTTCTGCTTCATGACCATCCAGCCGATGTGGGAGTACAGGAGGCCTTTGCGGACGGAGTAGGGATCCTTGTCAGTGTCGGTGTATCGGTGGTGAGCACGGTGTCCACGGGACCACCAGCGGATAGAACCCTCAACAGCACCGGCACCAACAGCCGCAAGGTAGATTTTGAGGGGCAGAGTAGCCCTGTAGCAGGTATGTGCCCAAAGACGGTGGTAGCCTGATTAGATGTTAGTCTTCGCCAATTCACTCTTGCTCAACAAGCTGATGATAAGAATTTAAAGTTACCTGCTGTGATACCGAGCCCGGTATTGAAATAGTAGATGACGGAGAAAATCAAAGTCGGGAGGGTCAGGGGCACCCAGTAACTAGCAACCAGGCCAGCCATGGGAATGAACAGAATGAACACCGAGTTCAGCCAGTCAACGTGCTTGTACCAGTTCTGCCATGTGATGGGCAACTCTGTGATGTGAGGCTTGCGCAGGTCATACTTCTGAGACCGCAAGGGCACGAAGTCTGTGGTCCCGTCGGGGAAGGCCTCGGCCTGCATCGAGGAGGATGAGGAGGCCATATTTGGAGCCGGAGACGATTGAGAGAGTCTCTGGGAAGAGGACTCTTCTCGTTCAGTCAGTCGGACACGCAGTAGGGGGATAAGGAGGACGTCGACGTGGAGGAGACGCCTGGGCTGTTGAAAATCGAAAGAAAGTCGGCGGGGGTTGAAGTGTGAAAGCTGGAGGACAGAGAAGGGAGACGGAGGCCAGCCTTCTTAAACGGTTGGGGGGCAAAAATATTTATGGAGTCGAAACACGGATGGGAAATGGTGGGCAAAGGCAAGCGGGGAACGGGTGAGGGTCTCCTTGGATTCCCGAAGGCTGGCCCAGGGTTTCAAGGGAAGCCACGGCCGACTGTGAGTACAGCAATTACAGTACAGCACAGTAAAGCACCGTAGCTGATGGGTAAGGGCTCTTCTTCCGTTTCCGTTTCTGTTAACCGACCTAGCTCTGAAGTACCTTATTTCCGCTGGTCTTAGACGTACAGCCTCGTCTCTTATACACTACAATACACGACTCCGACGTGGCCAACATACAATGTACTGTACCTATTCAAACACGTAACTATTTCCATTCGCTTTAACTAACATTGAAAGTGATTGCCCAAAAACAAGAAAGAAGCGGCGTTGACCGTGACTCGGTCGATTGTAGCCGTTGGGCCAAATGGGCTGAGGTTAGCCACTTGAGATCCCAAATGTTGTCACTTTCCTCAACTCCGTCCCCAAAGGCCAGTGTAAGTCAGAATCACGAGAGTTGGGAACGGACGCAGCCGAGGATGGTCATGTTATGCCTGTGATCATGCCATACTCGTCACAGTTTCTATGTGTGTGTGTCTCTCTTTCTCTGCGTCAGTACTTGGGCAATCAACAAGGGGCCTGTATGAGACCCTCCAGTCCCGAGCTCTGGGAAACTTCCATTTTGCCGTTGTGGATTTGTTGAGTCCAAAATGTTGGGAACCGAAGCTCATCTAATTGGTCAGATTGCATGGAGCTGGTCCCGCTGCCCGGTTTGTGGCCCACCGACACGCTTCCAGATCGCTTTACTCCGCAAAATGGTACGTACCTGCTGCACCTCATCCCATTCTTCACCTTAAATTGAACGAACAATGACTTCTGCAAATCGAATACGCCAGTTTCAATTAGAGTAGCCACAGAGACTCTAGCCCACCGAATAGACTAAGACTTGTTTCTTGCAGAGGCATCTCCGATAATTGTTCATGTTTCCTGTGAAGCAGACTACTTGAAGACTGTATGGTCCGCCCTCTGTACCTGCACAAGCCTTGCAAGGCTGGGGGTACATTACCTTAGGACAGACACACCCCTGACGGCATTCCATCATCTCAACACCCTCCCTTATCTCCCCCACGAAAATTATCATGCCTGATATTTCCCATCCCACCACGTTTGACAAACGCGCGTTGAGTTTGCACGTGTCAGCGCCTCGGCATTGTTCCTTGCGTCATCCGTCATCATACGCAGAAAACTCGCTGGATTGTCGTCCTTTCGTAGCTGTCATTCATTTAACTGTTCGTAGTGGGCCAGTCCGCCACTTGCTGTTGTCGATCAACATCTGATTGCTTCTGAGTGAGCCTCTTCCCC